TAATATGAATATTCACTTTTTCTACCCTTCCCCCCATTTTCCTGGCCTCTAAATTTAGATATTTTTATAAATATGTTATCTACAAGTAGGACATAGCTTTATTATTTTATATGAGATTCATAGTTTGGAAAATACCTTCTGATGTTGGTAGAAAGATTCCTCTATCTTAGTGATGTTCTGTGAAGCTCTGTGGTCAACTTGTCCCTGAAAGGGCTGCTAGTCTCTTGAAACCATGAAAGTCAAGGTCTTCAGGTTAAACAATAATAATAATAATAATAATAATAACAGTAATACATAGCATTTATATAGTTAGTTAAGGTTTTAATGAAACGATTTGATAGGGTCATACAAGTAGTAAATGTCTGAGGCTGGATTTGAACTCAGGTCTTCCGACTACAGGCCTAGTACCCAATGCCACCTAGGTATTATAAATGTTTGGAAGAAAATAATCAAGAGGTGACAATACTCAACAGAGCAGTAGCAGAAGGAGAGAATGACTCCAAAACTTCTACACGCAAAGCCCGGGGAACAACACAGCTTGAGAGCAGGTTGAACTAGAATTCTTGGAGTAGATGAAGCAAGAGTTTGGATGTTTTTTTTTTAAGAATTTAAAATTATAAATGAAATGAGAGGGCTACAATTAGAAAAGAAATGAGAGCTATGGAAGAAAGAATTGGAAAGAAAATTAACAGCTTGATCTAAGAGGAACAAAAGCTTACTCAAGCAACAAACTCCCTGAGAATTATAATTGACCAGATAGAAGCTAATGACTTCATGAGATAACAAGAAATATTAAAGTCAAAATACTAAAAAGATTCTTAGGAACTTTACAGCCAAAATCCAGAGCTTCCAGGTTAAAGGAAAAAAATACTACAAACAGTTAGAAAGAGTTCAAGTATTGAGAAGTCATAGTCAGAATTACATAAGATTACTGCCCCAGATGTGAAGGAGTGGAGTAATTAGAATACAGTATTCCAGAAGGCAAAAATAAAGGCTTATAACCAAGAATAACTTAGTCATCAGAACTGATTATAATACTATAGGAGGAAACTTTTAATGAAATAGGAAGTGATCAAGCATTTCTAATGAAAAGACCATTGCTACATTGAAACTTCAAAATACAAACAGGGGAAACAAGAAAAACATAAAAAGTTAACATAAGCAAGCATAATGAATTAAAGATGAACTGTTTACATTTTAATATGAAATGATCCATGTGTTACTTCAGAACTCTGTCATCAGGGATCATAGAGGTTGTGTAATAAGACAGAGGACCGGGGAGTAGATCTTGTTTATTCTGCTTCAATGATCTTATGAGAAGAAAGGAAAGGAAGGAGAAAAGAAATATATGGGTGGAGAAAAGAGAAAAGAAGGATGAGGAAAATTGTCTCACATGTTCGAAGGGCATAAGTTGAAGACTACAAACAAAAATAAAGGGTGAGTAGGAGGGGACAACACTTGAACCTCACTTTAATCTGAACTGGTCAAAGAAGGAAGGACACACATATTTGGACACAGAAATGGATTTCACTCAACTGAAAAACAGTTGGAAAAGGGGAGAAGGAAGAGGGTGGAATAACAGGAATAAGGAGGGACTAGTCCTAAGCAAAACAATGACAGTATTACCTAAACTAATTTATTCAGTGCCATACCAATCAGACTACCAAAGGACAACTTTTTAGAGCTAGAAAAAAAAAATAATGAAATTTATCTGAAAGAAAGAAGGTCAAGAATCTCAAGGGGAAAAAAATGAAAAAGATTTTGCCCAAACAAAATCAATGTAGCTAAAATTAGAAGAGCAGCAGATAAATGGAGGGAGGGAGATCTTTGCAGCAAGTTTCTCCAATGAAGGTCACATTTTAAAGATAGAGGGAACTAATTCAGATTTATATAAGTGTAAGAGCCAATCCTCAGTTGATAAATGGTGAAAGGATGTGAAAAAGCAGTTTTCAGTGGGAAAAAAATCCAAGCTATTAGTAGCCATGTCAAAAGTGCTTTAAATCACTGATAATTAGAGAAGTGCACATTTATTATGTGCACGTTTATGAAATTGTGAAATTTCCCTTTATACCCATCAGATTGGCAAAATTTGCCCCCCTCAAAAAAAAAGAAAATAACAAGTGCTAAAGAGGTTGTTGGAAAACAAGTATGTTAATGCACTGTTAGAGCTGTGAATTGGTCCAGCCATTGTGAAATTAATTTGGAACTGTGCCCCAAATTTTATGAAGCTATGCATTCCTGTGACCCAGAAATACCACTACCAAATTTATACTTCAAAGAGGAAAAGGACCCATATGTACAAAAAATATTTATAGCAGCTCTTTTTGTGATGAAAAAGAACTGGAAACTGAAAGAATGCCCATCAAGTGGTGAATTGCTGAACAAGTTATGGTATATGAATGGGATGGAAAGCTATTATACTGTAAGAAATTATGAAGGAGATGATTTCAGAGAAACTAGAATCTTGGATGAAATGAGCAGGACCAAGAGAACAATTCATACAATAACAATATTGTAAAGACATACGGTTTTGAATTATTTAAGAACTCTGATCAATGCAATGATCTGCCGCTATTCCAGAGGATTTGTGATCACACATACTACCAATATCCCAACAGAGAGGAGATTTACTCAGAGTGCGCATTGAGGCATTTTGTTGTTGTTATTCATGGCCAATGGGGGAATTTATTTTGCTTGACTATTTGTTAGAAGGATTTTGTATTTATTTTTCATGAGAGGAGGAGTACAACATGGGAAATTTTTGTTAAAGTTTAATTTTAAAAATTCAAAATAAAAAACAAATCTTATCGGGGATGGTTTCTAGTACCTTCATTATCTTGGTCCCCCTTCTCTGTGCACCATAGTTTGTCAGTGTCATTCCTGAAGTAAAAATGGGAAACTGGACATAATGCTCTAGATGTGGTATAATCAGGATTGAGTCCATAGGAATTGTTGCCTCCTTTTTTTTTTTTTTTTTTTTTTTTTTAAAGGCATTTGGGGTTAAGTGACTTGCCCAGCGTCACACAGCTAGTAAGTGTCAAGTGTTTGGTCTGAGACCACATTTGAACTGAGGTCCTCCTGACTTTAGGGCCAGTGCTGTATCCACTGCGCCACTCCATTTTTTTAGACACTTCCTAGGGAAGCCAGGAGACAGAGGTGAGAAGGCAGAGCATTTCAGGGATGGGGAATAGCCTTTGGTGAAAAGGCACAGAATTAGAAGGTGGGGTGTTGTGTGGGATGAACAACAAGAAATCAAATCAGCAAGCACTTATTAAATGCCTACCCTATGCCAAGCACTGTATTAAGCACTGGGGAAGAAAGGCAAAAACAGTACCCCCTCTCAAGGAGCTTACCGTTTAATGCCGGAAACAACATGTAAACAACTTTCTACAAACAAAGTATATAAAGGATAAATTGGAAACAAATAGAGAGGGAAAGCACTCTCTTCTCTGTTTTTATGATATTGCTTTCTCACCTGTCTGACTGTTCTTTCTCAGTCTCCTTTATTAGATCTTCATCAAGATCATGCTCACTAGCCATGAGTGTCCGCTCAGACACAGCTCTGCGCCCTCTTCTTTTTTCCCTTTATACTATTTGAATTATTGATATTAGCTCCCATGATTTCAGTGATCAACTCTATGCATATGATTCACATATTTATTTGTCTAGCTCTAACTTCTCTCCTGCCTTCGGTCTCACATCTCCACTTACCTATTGGATACCATCTTAAACTCAACATGTCCAAAATTGAACTCGTTATCTTACTCCAAAAAAACTCCTTTTTTTCTGAACTTCCTGTTAATTTGAGCATACCACCATCCTTATAGTCCCCCAGGCTCTCAATCTACATGTCTTCCTCAGCTCATCACCTCACTTCCTATATCCAATCATTTACCAAGTCCTGTCACTTTCTACCTTTGTAATATATCTTGTATGTGTCCCCTTCTCTTGTCTTACACTGCTACACCCTGGTCCAGTCCCTTAATACCTCTTTTTTGCACTATTGGAGTAGCCTACCAGTTGGTCTCCCTGTTTGAAATCTCTCTTTGCACTAATTCATCCTCTACTCAGCTGTGAAATTCATCTACCTTAAATGATGGCCCCTTTTAAACTTTTCCAGTACTCTTACTCCTTATACTACCCCTCTTCACTCCTTCACCCCCATGCCTGACACATACACACATAGATACATACATCCTCTGTGATCCAGAGACATTGGCTTCCTTGTTGTTTCTAGCATTAGACCCACCATCTCCATATTCCGGTTGGATATCAGGTCGCTGTGCCTGGAACTCTTCCCCCTTCTTATCTCCTCCTCCCAGATCCTGTGTCTTTTTTCAGTTCTAAGCTAAAATCCCAACTTTTGCATGATGCCTTTCCCAATAATCCTTAGTGCTAGTGACTTTTGTCTGTTGATTGTCTTCAACTCATCTTGTATTTTCTTTTTTGTACATAGTAAGTGCTTAATAAATGCTTGTTGACTGAGTAGAACTAAAAGACATCAAGAAGGATTTCTTGTAGAAGGTGAGATGTTAGATGTGACTTAAAGGAAACCAGGAGCCAGAAATAGGATGGAGAAAGTTCCAAGTGTGGGAGATAGCCAGTGAGAATGTATAGAATTGGGAGATGGGAGTGTCTTGTAAAAGGAACAGCAAGGAGGCTAGTGTCCCTAGATTGCAGAATATGTGGAAAGGAGTAAGATGGAATGAGAGAAGAAAGGTAGAAAGGGCTTTAAAAGCCAAATAGAATTTTTTGTTTGATTTTGGAGGTGATAACGAGCCACTGAAGTTTTATTGAATAGGGAGGTGACATGGCAAATGTGTGATTGTTATCCGTCCTTGGTTTTTTTGGTTTGTTTGTTTTTTGGATGAGGCAGTCTGGGTTAGGTGATTTGCTGAGGGTCACACAGCTAGTAAATGTCAGGGATCTGAGGCCAGATTTGAACTCAGATCCTCCTGACTCCAAGGCTGGAGCTCTATCCGCAGTGCCACCTAGCTGTCCCTCATCCTTTGTTTTTTAAGAGGATCAATGACATCAGGATGGCATCAGGGTACAGTGTGTTCAACTGTAGCTGATCAGTCCAGTACAGGCTCAGAAGGCTTTACCACAAGTTGGACACAAGCAGTCCATTAGAACATTTGGGTTGGAGGTGTCTCTGGATTTATGCAGCTCACATTTCCTTTGCTCTACTGTGATTCGGCTTTGTTCATAGAGTACAGCGGCGTCTTTGATGCGGACATGCCATGATGGATAGTCTTGTGCCAGCATCTCCTATGTCTTACAATTAGTACTGAAGTTCTTCAGAGAGACCTTGAGAGTGTCCTTGTACCACTTCTTCTGACCACTGTATGAGAGCTTGCCTTGTGCAAGTTCTCTGTACAATAGTCTTTTACATAAGCATGCATTTGGCCTTCAGGCTTCATGACCAACCCATCGGAGTTGTGGTCTCTGAAGTAGAGTTTGAAAGCTTGGCATTTCAGCTCAAGAGGGGACCTCAGTGTCCAGTGCCCTTATCTTATCAGGTTATCTTCAGAATCTTCTAATTCAATTCAAGTGGAAGTTCACTTTGCTGGCACCTTGTTCATGGACTATCCAGGTTTCACAGGCATACAACAGTGAAGTTGGCATAATGGCTCTGTAGACCTTCAGTTTGATATGTAGCCTATTACCTTTTCTGTTCTACATTTTCCTTTGGAGCCTCCCAAGCAGTGAGCTACCTCTGGCAGTGTGTGCATCAACCTCATCATCTATGTGGACATCCCTAGAAAGTATATTGCCAAGGTAAGTGAACTTATCCACAGCATTCAAAATTTCTCCATTTACTGTGACCAACAGTTCCACGTATGCATAGTGTGGTCCAGGCTGTTAGAGGACGTCTGTTTTCTTGGTGTTGATTGTCAGGCCAAAATTAGCACAAGTGGCAGAGAATCGATTCATACTCTGTTGCATCTCGGCCTCAGAGACTGCATTGAATGCTCAGTCATCTGCAAACAAAAAAATCATGCACGAGCTCTCCCTCCACTTTGGTCTTTGCTTGTAGCCTTTTCAAGTTAAATAGTTTCCCATCTGTGTGGTGGCTGACCTTGATGCCGTTTTCATCCTTATTGAAAGCATCTGACAACATTGTGGGAAACATTATGCTAAAAAGCATGGAAGCAAGCACACAACCCTTCTTTACTCCATTGAATGTTGGGAAATCATAAGAGCATCGTCCTTCATCCAGAACCCATGCAGGCATGCCATCATGAAATTGTTCTACAATACTGATGAACTTCTCCAGGCAACCAGATTTTGCCATGATCTTCCACATGACCTCACAACTGACAGTGTCAGAGGCTTTGGTCAGGTCAATAAATATTGTGTACGGACTTCTGTTCTGCTCCTGGCATTTTTCCTGTAGTTTTTGGGCAGCTAATACCATATTGACCATTCCTTGACCCTTTCTGAAGGTGCACTGGTTCTCATACCATCAAACACAGGATTTCATATTTGACCTTGGATGTTACAGGGAGTCACTAGGATTTATTGAGTAAGGGGAGGGTGAGTGATATGGTCAGACTTTTGCTTCAGGAAGTTCATTTTGGCAGCTGAGTGTTCAGTGGACTTGAATTGGAAGAGATCTGAGGCTGGGAAAAGCTGATTAATCTGTTCATAATTTATTTGGCACTTGTGCTGGTAGGTGTTGGAGGAGATACAAAGACGTACCTTTGTACTTCTGTATGAAGTAATTCATAGATCATATTCCAGTAAAGGAGTTATACAATACTAATAAGTATAATACATAATTATATGCAAGTATATTAAATGCAGAAAGAAAAAGATATAAGGGATGTTAGCATGGAATGATTACGAACTTTTGGAATCAGAATAGTTTACCAAAATTTGACTTCATGGAAGAGGTGGCATTTGAAGCAGCATAGTTTAAAGGACTGGTAGGGGCAGCTAGGTGTGCACAGTGATTAGAGTGCTGGACCTGGAATACTAGCTGTGTGACTCTGGGCAAGTCACTTTACCCTGTTTGCCTTAGTTTCCTCATCTATAAAATGAGCTGGAAAAGGAAATGTCAAACCGTTCTGGTATCTCTGCCAAGAAAACCCCAGATGGGTCATGAAGAGTCAGACATGAATGAAATGATTAAACAGGGAATTCAGTAAGTAAACAGGTGTAGGCAGGACATTACAGGTCTGGGGAGTAGTGATGACAAGATCTAGAAGCAGGAAAATTTGGTAGATAGCATCAAATTGTGGAAAACCTTGAATGGGAAGGAAAAAATCATTTGAATTTTGTCCACTAGGAAGTATGGAACCACTAGAACATTTTTAGTAGAAGTGTAAGATAACTTGATCTATGTATGAGGAAGATTAATGGGAAGAAACATAGTATAATAGAAAGGAGGTTAGATTTAGAGTCAGAGGACCTGGGTTCATATTTGGACTATTTATGTGACCTTGGGTAAGTCATTTAATCTCTCTAAGTCTCAGTTTCCTCATCTGTAAAATGAGATTGGATTCTCTTAAGGTTCCTTTATACTCTTAAGTCTGTGATCCTGTGAGATTATTCTAACTACACTGTAAAAGGTAGTTTCAAGGAGAGAGAAAATGGAGGCATGAAGACATGCTGGGGAGACTGTTGTAGTCCAGTGAGTGGTAATGATAGTTGTACGTGGGTAGTAATAGTGGGAATAGGGAGGAAGGAAGAGTTATGAGAGATATGATGGTAGAATACTAAGAATGTTTTCTCAGTATCAGAAATATATCAGTACATTTCTTCTTCTACAATTTGATCACCTAATGATTTAGGATAATTGTTCACCACATATAAAATTGAAATAACTTTCTTAAATGTTAAGGATCAACACCAGAATTACGTGAGAGAAAAAAGTCAAGCAGTCTTGAAAATGAGCAAACAGCTCTACAAACTCTGCCAGAGAAAACCAGAGATATTCCACCTATGAGGAGGTCTCCCAAATGTAAGTCATGTTGGTTTCAGAGTTTTCTCTTTTCTTTTCCTGTAACTACATTATCCTTAAACTTCCCCTTTCTTCTTCCTCCTGATTTCCACCTATCTATTTGGTTGGCTACTTGGATGCATAATTGTTGAAACTTTTTTTCATCATTATCAACTTTTTTCTATTCCCACCATTTCCATTTCACGTGAAGTACGAAAAAAAGTCATCAACTTGACTTTGGGACCCAAAGGTATAGAAATCAGTCTGTGCTATAGAGGGTGACTTTGCCTTGTTTTTTTAACCTCTTATGCCCCGGTGTCATTATTGTTTCTTCATCTGTCTTCTTAATCTTTATGCCAAGTGTCTGTGATATGTTTGGGAGATTAGGCAATGAATGTGACTCAGAATGGCCTGCTCCATCATATGAGCTCAGGGCATAGACTGATTATCCTAAGGGTTTTGAGCATTGTAGATCTTAGATTTTAAAAGTACTTTATTTGATTCAAATATACTTTGGGATGTTGCAAAGAAGAAGCCAACTAATTTAAAATATGCAGTGTTTCAGTGATGCTTTTTGGCCTGGTCTGCAGAATTAATATGTTTTCTACGGAAAGTGTGTCCCAAGTCTCAGACACCAGACTTGCAAGTTGGAAAACAGATCACTTGTAAATTCAAAACTGCCTATGCAGTACTTTACTTTTTCCTAGTTAATAGAATACTTTGTTTTTTTCGTAGTTAACAGAATAATAAATCCTGTAGATAAAACATTGTGGTTATTTTCATTTTACAAATGAAGATACTGTGACATGTAGAAATTATGTGATTGGGTAGTTCTTGATTGTATAGTGCATGTCGATAGTGTCACTGAAATCAGAAGTAAGCTGCTTTATTTTTATCCTATATTTTAAACTGGAATATTCCTTAGAAGCTAAAAATTTCAGTGCTTAGTACTGAAAGTTCTGAGCTAAAAGTTTTGAAGTAAACTGAAAATTTTAATTAGTACTTTTTCTTTGAGTTAGTACTTTTAAAAATTAGAGGGTGTTTTGGGTTTTTTTTTTTTTTAATATACACATAAACTCTGATCTTTTTCCTGCACATCTACACACAGAGTAAAAAGATCTTGAAGAACAAAATGCTTAGTAGGCCAACATTCAGATATAGAAATTGGTTTTTGATGTTCCCAATATGTTCTGGTGGAAGTTTTTTAGGCCCCAGTATTGGATTAAATTGATAATGCCAATCAAAAATAAATAATCACTTAAATTAATATTTTACATTCAGGCCTCCGTCAAAGTCGTTCTAATTTTGAAATTTTGCATGTTTTTCTTTCCTAACATTAAAGCATATAGTCATTAAGCAATACTGCAGTGTTAGCTAAGTACTTGCAACTTTTTTCAAATTGTAATTCAAGGCTATTAACTTCTGGTTAATTAGATAGTAGTGTTTCTCACATATTTTGAGTATAAACATCTCCAGTACAAGGGTTCTTAACCTATTTTTGTGCCGTGACTCCTCTAACAATCTGATGAAGCCTGTGGATCCCTTCTCAGAATAATGTTTTTAAATGCATAAAATTATGTAGATTATAAAGGAAACCAATTCTATTTTAAAAAAAAATTATTCATAGACCTTAGGTTAGGAACTCCTGATCTGGAGGAACATTTCAGTTAAAATAACATAGTGAATGCCTTTATGGTGCTTTGCAAGTAATAATAGCCCCTAAATCAACCAGTATTAATCCTAATTTTACAAATTAAAAAAATTTAGAAGTAAAATGCTTCTTCATAGGTTTCAATAATACATGTGAGCTTTGTTTTTCTATTATTTTTCTTTATTGCTTAGTAGTATATTTATGGTATGTGTGTGAAGTAAGGTTGTCTTCTCATTTTGTCACACAGTAGTTGTAGTCACATTAAGGGTGTTCTACATTTAACTTTAATATTTAATAATCAGGAAATATTGTGATGAAATAGGAACTTTGATTCATTCCTTTAGGGTGTTACTTTAGTGTGTGTGTGTGTGTGTGTGTATATATATATATATATATATATATAAATAAATATATATATATCTATGATTGCTTTTACTGTCTTTTTTCAGATGTATTATTTCAGCGTTTTGCAAAGCTTTTCTTGGGCTGTCTTGCAGCGGTTACTAGTGGTATGACATATGCACTATATTTGTCAACATATCATGAACGGAGATTCTGGTTTTCCAGCAGACAGGTAAGGTAGAATTTTGAGGATACCTGAGTATTTTGTGCTGTCAAGAAATGTGTTTTTTTGGAAGTTAGACATCTAGAAAATATATTATCTGTAGATAACTTAAGGTTTGCACTACTTATAGTTGTGGCCAGTTCAGAAAATGTGTCATTTGGCATACCTGTAGAAATATTTTTGAGAACAATTCAGTGTAATATATAAACTTAGGAAGTATTCAATAGTTTTTGTCCTCTGGCCTTGAACTATAGCCTCTCTGTGATGGGTAGTGTTCCATTATGAAGTTGATTGAACTAAATATGACAATTAAATGTTACCAGTTATTAAGATACTTTCTTTGTACTGAAGTTACTCTATAATTATTTCTTGTTAATGTTTCAATATTAATTTCTAGTAGTTATGATGTTTGTAATGGTCTGATTTTCAGTTGCCCTCCTCCTCAGGGGAAAAAAAAAGGCAACCACATCATTTTTAAGATGTTTTGTTGCGTTAGCATAGGTAAGCTCCATCTGTGATAAAATGGAGTATATTGACTATGGAATCCTTAGTAACTATGATGTTTATGGTGGTTTTTTTCTGTTTGAATGATTCTGTTTTGGTACTTAACTTTACAATTATAGTTAGGTTTCTAGTTAGCAGAACAATCCTGTGAATGAAGTTTGTCATTCATTGGTGTAAGCTAACGTAGTTCACAGTTATCACTGGTCATCTGCTTTAGTTTTACTTTAGCCTAGATGGTGGTGTTTTGGTTTTTTTTTTTTGATATAAATTCTGAGTGGTGGAAATGATCCTCTGTACTTTTAACTTACCTTTTTGACTTGGCAAAAACTACTGGTATATGTTATGTTTATTTGCAGGCATTTCAGAGTTTGCATCTTTGAGGTTGTAGGCAAACCTACTCTATTTTAAATCTAGAATTTAACTTTTGGAAATGTTTATCTTGTGAATGAGATTTAGATCTTCATAAAAGCTTGATTCGAGGTCATAAAGAGGGAGTTTCTAGATGTTTTTTTATGAAGAAATTGTTTTAACAGCTTCAAAAATATTTTCTGCCTCTTCCAGTGAATTTCCAGAAGTACTTTGTTAGCATTTTTTTTTTTTTACCTAGTACTTAGTCCCAACTGGGAGCATTTTGGTATATTATTGGAGGAATAATAAAACAGATATGACTATTGAGTTTATTTCATTGTCTTTTATTTTGTAGAACTGAAAGCATGAATCATTTCCTATTTAATCTGTCCTTGATTTATACACTAACACTTCACTTTTCATGATCACTTTTTCCATTGTCCTCTTATTCTTAAGACATTTCTTCTGATTTCTGTCCTAGACTTTTTCTATTTTCTGAAAGGTAAATTATAAATTATGGTCCATTCTAGGTGTTTTGTTTCATTAGGACATATTGATCAGATTATGAAAAAGTCTTACCTTCTCAACATGACTTTTAGTTTATGTAGGCAAATTTGAACATTTCTTTGACTAAAGGGATAAATAAATTGCAAATGAATCAGAAACCTTATCTTCTGTGGAATCTATGCTATACATCTAAAGTCATAGCACAAAACCAACCTGTTTGACAATATTTAGTCATTCTAAATACTAAAGGGAAAAGGTAGATTGTGGAAGAAATTCAAGAAATGACAATCTTAATAATAATTTGATTTTCTTTTAGGAGCTTGAACGGGAAATCACATTTCAGGGTGACAGTGCCATTTATTACTCCTTTTATAAAGAAATGTTAAAGGCTCCTTCATTTGAAAGAGGTATGACACTCATGTTTACATGTTTAATCACTAAAAGACTTCTGAAGTAAACAAAACTTATGTTTTTCAAATAAGAGCACCTGAGTGTGAGGGTCTGTTGTAGGAAAATTAGATTCTTTTAGGGTAATTTTTGATCTTTATGAAACTTAATCAAAAGAATGAATAATATAGAGGAGAATATTAGATTTTAGATTGCCTTCCCTGATTATAATGTAAAGCCTATACTGAGAAGAGCACCCAGAATCAAAATATAACGAACATCTTTAAGGATGACTTGCTTCTCTCTCATTTTTAAACTAATGAATTTGTTTTACTGTGACATACCTCAGTTTTTTTTACATTTTGATTGCTTTAGAAAACTCTAGTTCCACTGTAGAATATGGTCTGTTTATGTGATTAGCTATGTATTTATGCAAGTATGTTAAAAAGGCTGAACAATTAAAAATGTCTAAGGTGATATCAAGATTGGATTTATTCAAATAGTCAAGAGATTGCAGTTACTTCTTTGCTTTCTTTCTTTGAATATACCGTAGTTTTTCTTTCTTTGAATGTACCATAATTTTAAAGTAGAACTCAACTATCTCATCTTTACCTCATAATATTTTCTCTTTTCTTTCCTTCACTCCTTCATGTACATCCTTCTATTGATGGAACTTTTTTGTGAGGTTTCTTGTTAGACTCCAGGTATCTATTAAATTATGTGCTGTCATGCAAGTATGTAGCAAGAAAATAACTGAACAAATCAGGTTTTCGATATTAAAGGAAGATTCAATAAAGGCAAAAGAGGTTATGAAAATTTCATTAATATGCTATCACAATTAGTCATGTAAAAATTATATTTTCCTTTGGTGTGGCTTCTTTTTCAGCAATAGTTAGTAATAAAATGACCATTCCTGACTTTGCGTGGTAAGAATTTTGATATTAACTTGTAGAGTTTTTTCTTGAATAACTTAAACATATTTTTGCTAGCAATAGTTCCTCTGAGTCTGGCAGCCAAAAGCCATATGGTTTTACATGGTTGTAAAAATCAAAGGAAATAATCTGGAGAAGAATTTTTCTGTCTTTAGGTGTTTATGAGCTTACACACAACAACAAAACTGTATCACTGAAGACTATAAACGCAGTGCAACAAATGACTTTGTATCCAGAACTGATTGCCAGCGTACTATATCAAGCAACTGGTAGTGAAGTATGCATTATTCCTGTAACTTGCCAATGTTAATATAGTTCAGATTTTTCAGTATTACAGTGGTTCAAATGCCATCCTAACTACTCATTTCCCTATTTCAGGAGGTTATCGAGCCAGTATATTTCTACATTGGTATAGTTTTTGGATTGCAGGGAATTTATGTGACTGCATTGTTTGTTACAAGCTGGGTTATGAGTGGAACTTGGCTAGCAGGAATGCTTACTGTTGCATGGTTCATTATTAATAGGTAAGAAAATAATTTTCTGTTACTTATCAAAGGTCATTTGGGGTGTTTTTTGCCTCAGTAGCCATACTTATTTTTGAGACTCTGTTTTTTTCAGTTATTGTCGGAAATAGATATGTATTCCTTTCCTCCCTTTCCTTTTTTTTTAAACCTACTGCTGAGAGGAATTAATTTCAACAAGCATTCGTAAAGCATCTACTTTGTGCCAGGTACTGTGCTAGACACAAAGTAAAAAATTAATTGGAAGGATGACAACATGTACACAGATAAGTAAATATAAAATCGATACCAAGTAAATTAAGTAATTTTGATGACACTGGAGTGGGGTGCATTAAACACAGGAGGCTCAAGAGTGCCTCATGTAGGAGGTAAAACTTAAGCTGAAGCCAAACGGAACTAGGAATTCCAAGGGATAGAAGTGAGATTGGAGAGCATATGAGGACAGTCTGTGCATAGACACATAAGTAGGAGCTAGAGGTGGAGATAGAAAACCATGTGTGGGTATCAGAAAGTAGATCAATTTGGTGGGACCACAGTACTTTAGGACAAGTACTGGGAAATAAATCTAGAAAGGTTATCCAGATTATGAAGGATTTTAAATGCTGTAATCAGAAGAGTTTCTGTTTTATCTAAGAGACAGTGGAAAGCCTTTAAAGATTTTTGAGCAAGGGAATTGGTTACATGTTTAAAACTGTCACTTTAGTGGCAACTAGTTGGAGGATAGAGGAAGACCAATTACGAATTTATGGTAGTAATTCATTTAAGAGATAATGAAAGGTAACCAACTGGGGTGGTTGTGATGTGAATGGAATGAAGGGCACATATGTGACATAAATTGTGGAGATAGAGTCTGTAAGACTTGGCAACTATTTAAACATAGAAATACGCCCCTCCATAGACTTTGCTATCCAGTGACATTGGCCTGTTCCTTGAATAAGACACTCTGTTCAACTCTGTACTTTCATTAGTTGTAACGCATGCCTGAAGTTCTGCATGTATCTCATTTCTACATAGCTGTTTACATGTGGCTTCTGCATTAGATTGTAAGCTGCTTGAGGTCGGAAACTTTTTTGCCTTTCTTTGAATCCCTGTCACTTAGTACAATGCCTGTCACCCAGTTGGTGCACTTGCGTAGTGCTTATTGACTTGACTTGAGAGGTAGAGAGGAGGAAAGAGTCAACAATAACTCCAGTGTTGCATATCTCTTTGACTGGAAGAATTATTAGGAGGAAGGGTAGTTATAGGTAAAAGATAGTGAAATCGGTTTTGGCAACTTGAGTTTGAGATGCCTACAGGACATCTAGTTAATGATGTCTTTTTTTTTTTTTTTTTTTTTTTTTTTTTGTTAGTGAGGCAATCGGGGTTAAGTGACTTGCTCAAGGTCACACAGCTGGTATGTGTCAAGTATTTGATCTGAGGTCGGATTTGAATTCAGGTCGTCCTGATGTCAGGGCCAGTGCTCTATCCACTGCACCACCTAGCTGCCCCTAATGATGTCCTTTAAACAGATAGATAGTGGACCTGGATCCCAGGAGAGATAGAATTGCTGGTTATATAAATGTCGGAGTCATCATAGAGATGATTATTTAATTCGTAGGAGATGATAGGTCATCGAAAGAAGAAAAGAGAGACAGGACATAGATGATGATTTTGCAAAGGAAACTGAGGTGAGATAGGAGGAGAAATAGGAGAGCAATGCTATGAATTATGAAAGTTTTTTAATATCAAGATAACCATCACAAGTAAGGAACCACTAGTTGTCTTTGGCTTCAGACAGATTGTTTGCTTCCAGGATTAAGAGGAATGTTTCAGTATTAAACAAGGAGTAGAGGAAGAAGGCTTACTTAAAAGCAGTCTGGTTTGAAAGAAGTTACAGAATTTGTACTAGTTGGAAGTATATTTGACTTTGACAAATTGCCTTCTTACTGTTATGACAGGTAACTAGCTAAGTACATTCTGACCTTGGTGACTTCTGGCAGTGAGAGGAGGAAAAGGAGGGAGGAGCTTTAAATCTTGCCTTATCAGGATCCATAAAAGAAATTAAGTATATTTCATCCGAAATAGAGATTTATAGAAGATAGAAATATGTCTTCAGATAGTTGAAAGACTGTCATATATAGAAGAGAGTTTAGAATTATCTTGCCTGAAGGGAGAACTAGTGTGGAAATTATAAGGAGGTAGATTTTTGACACAATATGAAGAAGAAAAATTTTGAGTTCTCTGAAAATGGAATAGGCTGCTTTATTGCCCTTAGAGGTAGCAAATTACTCTTAATTAGAGGCTAGATAATTACTTGTTCAGGATATCGTAGTGAGGTTCATATATCCTGTAAGGCAGAGGTGTGAGACATGTGACTCATGATCCTCATGATACTCACAACACTCCTGAGTAGAGCCCAGACCAGATTAAAATGTAATTGGGAAATATTTGACAAAATAAGCAAAAATACAATAAAATGTAGATAATATTAATACGTGGTTTTCTGAGCCAATATATGGTCCGCAGGGATCTTTATATAGGATTTAGTGACCCCCATGTCTATTTAGATTTGACACTACTGCTGTAAAGGAGTAGATGGGGTCCTTCCCTTCTTAAGATTCTGTAGCTAATTTCAGATTCCCATGCTAACTTCCAAATTTTATTATAGTTTATTTCTGTAATCTAGAAGCACGGAAACAGCAAGGCATTTTTGCATAGGTGTTTTTGCAGACAAAAAGGTTACTGTGAGGTCTTGCTATTGGCACATAGAGGATTGTTTTGCTTTATCCAAAATATACCTCTTCTTTAAAAGAAAAAAACAACTTGCTTGTTGGACACTCATGTTTTTTAAATTCATGAAGGAACTAGCAAGCAGTTCTTTAAATTTGAGTGAAAAATCTAGGCAGTCATAGCACTTAAAAGTCAGGATGTGAAAGCCCTAGAGCCAGCAATAACACCATTTCCTTATTATGTGGGGGAGGAGGAGTTCTTGGGAACTGTAGAGAATAGAAGGAGTAGAAGGTGTTGGTGTTAGTCCCTGCTCTCTTGTCTCTTTTAGTGAATGATGCTGTGTCCTAGGGAGGGAGGGAGGAAGGAGGAGGAGGAGGGGCAAGTAGAAAACTTTCCCTAATGAGTTAAGTTCTGTCAATATATTTCATACTGGTTGAAACATGCTTTTCAAGTAATTACTCATTATTTTCTAATTTATTACTATAATAGAAAATGATGGTATATTGAAACCCTTTTGTGGTATTCATCAACTTTAGGAAACCTTTTGACACCATCTGAAGACCTTGACTCTGGTTGCCTGGAAATCATTTTAGCTGCCTATTTCTAAAAATATTCCTGTTATTTTATGGTGGTATAGCCATTAATATTAGAGTTTATGGCATCCTGCCCTATCCTATCCTGTCCTATCCTGTCCATCCTCTCTTCCAGAGAATGTAATAATTTCCATTGTATCCAAACTGTGTATATCCATGCTACACGTTTTAATGATGGACTTTAAAAGAATGTTGAACTACTCCAGTTTTCAAGGAAACACTTAAAAACAGCATACTTCATTTTTTAAAAATTTAATATATTTATTTTTAGTTTTCAGCATTCACTTCCATAAGCTTTTGAGTTTTAAATTTTCTCCCTATGCCTCCCCAAGACAGCGTGCAATCTGATATAGGTTCTACATATACATTCCTGTTAAACATATTTTCACATTAGTCATGTTGGAAAGAAGAATTAGAACCAATAGGAGGAAACACAAGAAAGAAGAAACAAAACAAAACAGAAGGGGAAAAAAAAGAGCAAATAGTATGCTTCGATTTGCATTCAGACTGTATAGTTCTTTCTCTGAATGTGGTAGCATTTTCCATCTTGAGACTTTCAGAGATGTCTTAGATCTTTGCATTGCTGAGAAGAGCTAAGTCTATCAGAGTTAGTCATCGCACAGTGTAGCAGTGTACAACATTCTCCTGGTTCTGCTCACTTCACTCAGCATCAGTCCATGCAAGTCATTCCAGGTTTTCTTGAAGTCCACTTGCTCATCATTTCTTAGAGTACAATAGTATTCCATTACATTCATATGCCACGGCTTGTTCAGCCATTCCCCAAATGATGGGCATCCCCTCAATTTCCAGTTGTTTACCACCACAGAAAGAGCTACTATAAATGTTTTTAAACATGTGGGCCCTTTTCCCATTTGTATGATCTCTTTGGGATACAGCCCTCGAAGTGGTATTACAAACAGCATACTTTAATAATATATTACTAAAAAGTCTTTGAGATAGGCTTATAGAATCGCCTTATCCTAATGATGGTCTGGAATCACTCACAAAGCATATAAGAGATCGTAGATCACTTTGCAAATTCAGATGGTGCAGTGAATGGATAAGAGAAGGATGAGAAATAGATGTGTTGTAATCTGTACCAGGAAGCTACATAGAACCACTTCCAAATTGAAAGGAATCAGAAAATCCTGCTTCATATGTGTACTTGGCAGTGCAATGGAGTAGATGACTAAATGGGGAAACAAAGCATATATTGAAGTGGACTGGAGAATAGCCTCAGTGTGGCCTAAAATTCCATATTGTATCAGTGACAAACTTGCCATGATGCCACAATCATTTCTTAGAACGTACTTAGTGGCAATACCTCAAGCCATACTTAATATGTTTAAATGCTTTATCCCAGCTTGATACTGCATCATGGTATGGTGGGCAGATTTGACTGTGTCAGTCAAGAAAACCTGGCTTTAAGTCCAGACCCTGACAAAATGGACTGTAACACCTGGCAAGTCACTTAGTTTCTCTATTCCTCAGGCATCTTTTAAGTCTGTATGTTGTAGAATTGTTGCTGTTCTACATTGGTAGAGGGGAATTTTCCTCATCAGAATTTCCCAGCAACATTTAAATCACAGGTTTAGATAGAGAAAATAAAAAATTAGGCCTTAAAATGTGCCATGTCAGCTAGCATAGAAACTGCTTGCTGCAGTGCAACTCCAGTGATTGGGATTTGTGGCGGAATGGACAGTAGCCCAGGATAACTTTGGAATACTTGTTTCTTTTGATCTAGACCTATGATTTCATTGATATGAGAAACTCCTAGTATGCAACTCTCTTCACAGATTAAAATCAGCAACTTGTCTATAAGTTATAGTCCAAGAGAGGTGCATGGGCCACTGAGAAGTTGTGACCTGCCTACATTCACGTGGCTAATAAATGTCAGACAGAGAAAGGATTTGAATTTGGATGCTTCTGTCCTTTTATCCACTATGCCATGCTGCCTCCCTGGCCATGCTGTAGGGTAGCTTAAAGTACTTATGGAGAAAAAAATGTCACTAGGACACACAATTATAGCACAACTACAGTGTGTCCTTGTGACTTTTTTTTTTGGTAGCTTAGTAGTGTAATCCTGAAAAATAGTAGCAGTTGATCTTGGGTTAGCATTAGTTACAAATATGGTGGCTTCTTTTGAACATAAGTTGAAAGAGCTAAAACATGCTTTATAATCAGCAGGTATATTTGCAATGATATGTGTCTTTTCTTGCAAATTGTATGGAAAGGGCTGCTGGTCGTGTAGTTACCTTTTAGCTACAGCCATAAACAGAAAACTCTTTGAAAGCTTCTTCAGATGTGAAGAACCAAGAAATTTTGGTAGGGATATTAGCAATTTTTTGCAGTGAGTCTGGCATTAATAATCAGACGAAGTTTCTAATTATATTGACATTCCAGTGAGCTAACTTAACTTGACTTTTCTTCTGTGTTTCCATTTTAGGGTAGATACAACAAGAATCGAATATTCCATTCCTTTAAGAGAAAACTGGGCACTACCATATTTTGCATGTCAAGTTGCTGCTCTTACAGGCTATTTGAAAAACAACATAAATACTTCTGTAGAGGTAAAATGCTAAACTCTAATTTGCTAAGCCCATGCATACTACCCTGTTAAAATAACTTGTCATTTTTCAAATTTAAGTATTCTGGGTATCAAATAATCAGTGAAACCAATTACATATCATTAGGTATATGATTTTTAATCCTAACAAAAGATCCAGAATGTGGACCTTGTGGTTATTTTTGGACAGAAAGATGAGTTGTAATTATAGTTGCATAACATGGTTTAACAAATGAAATGATGACTCTTTTATCCTTTTCTAGATTAAGCTCTGTCATCAGTGGCTGAACCATAGAAATGTCAATAGATCTTACTCTAATTGCCTTTCCCAATTTTGGTGCATCAGGCTACCTTACAGCATAAGAGAATGAATGTTTCCTTTTCCCTTTCTCTCTCTTTCCTCTTTCCCTTTCTGTCTCTGTCTCCCTTTCCTTCTCTCTGTCTCCCCCCCCCCCATATGTATATATGTAGGTATATATATAGAGAGAAAGTCTGTGAACCTTGGGCCTCTTTCATTTCTTACTCCTGAACTACATTTCCCAACATATTTTTCACTTGTTCCCCTGTCTACCTTTGCATTGAAGTCTTACCACATTCTTCATAGATTTTTTTTTCTGCTTCCTTATCTCCTGCAACAGATGTTTACATGTAAAATAACTTCTTTATGATAGTCTTTTTAAAATGCTTGTCGTGGAAACTGTGATACATAATATCCAGGAGTCCCACGAAATGAACTTTCTTATTTACCTTTGGAGTCATGATAAGAACTAACTCAGCTAACTACTTTCTGTAAGGCGGGGAGGGAGGGCCATAAGACATTCTTCCATTTAGCTTAAATTTCCTTCTGTCTTCTGGTTTAATTTACATTGAGAATGTTAAGATTAATGACTTACTTCCTCTGACCAGATCTCTCCTTATTAGTCACTGGACACAAGAGTCTTAAATTTAGGCTATGACCAGCTAAGTTAGTTTTTATAAATGGCCTAACAGCTATGTAATTCTTAGCACCTTCTGCCCATTAATGTCACTGGAAGAGGACCTCCACAGGACTAAAGGTCACTTTGTATTTTTCTTTGTTGCATTGGTTTCTATAGTTAGAGTTCATCACTAGTTGGCTGCTTACTGAAGATGAGCTGCCCTTTGCTTAGTTAGACTAGCTAGAAAGCAGACATAAGGCTTTGGCCACATTGCGCTTAAAAACTTTTCTGGTCTGGTAAAACTTACCAGAGCTGGTACTCCTTTGACAGCCTTCAGGGATGCAAGGTCACCTTCCTGCCACAATGAGGCATTTCTGTAGGGTAAAAACACCATGGATTTAGAATTTTCTTTCATTTGCTTTATGTAGTTGAAATTACCTAAATATTTCTGGTAATAGGTTTTTGGGGTTTTTTTAAGGTACTCGAATTAGGTCATACTTGGGAGAGTTAGGAATAGATAGCTCTTTTGCTTTTTGAGCTCAGTCCAGACCTAGCCTATTGGATACTTTGCTGATGATATTTTGTCTCAGAGAAAAACAATTCTTCTGTTATCTAATAGGCTACACTTCTAAAGAAAGGAATCAGACTGACAGAAAAGAATTGCATGTGCTTTCAACTTCTCTTTCTTCATTTCCATTCTTTTATTCCTTCTTTCTTTACTTTTATATTTAAAAAAAATTCTGATTGATCTTGTTAGGATTATGTATGTGTGTGCAGGAAGTAGGTTGGAGTAGAATATCCTTTAACATTCATATTTTCTTTTTTCTTTTTTTCTCTCATCCCTATTTTTCTGCTGTGAAATGTTTGCAATATCAATAACTCACATTTGTATAGCAGGTATGCAGAGTGCTTTAATTATAACTACTTTATAAAATAGATCACGTATCACTTAGCATTTTAAGATTAAGACTTGCTTGTAATAGATTTCCTGATTCCAAGTTTGTCTTTGTTACACTGTGTCCAGCTGCCTCTCTAGTGACTGATTGTATTCCAAAGATTCCTTATTCAGAAGATATTTAATGTTATTATTATTATCCAATAACAATTATGTGGTCTCATAATGGATTAAAATATAGAGAGTTACTGCAGTTTAAAGTTACCCAGATCTATAACAGGTTCTAAGGCCCCAGTTTCATGGGGATGACCTTGGATATCAATAACAATACTGTTGATATTTAGGTTATGCCTCTTGTTTCCCCTAGAGATTTTGCTACTTGTTGGTGAGTGCGTCAACGTATACTTTCATGATGATGTGGGAATACAGCCACTATCTCCTGTTTCTTCAAGCAATCTCCTTATTCCTCCTAGACTCCTTTTCCCTCATGCAAGCAGATAAGGTATCATGACATTTTGAATTTTTTATTTTAAATACTAACGGTTCATTGTTTTCCTTTTTGTCTATACTTTCAAAGTATTATGCCTTTAGAATAAATATTATTATCATAAATATTAGAAAGAAATTTGTTTTGTAAGTCTAGAATATCCTGCTTTCACCTAAAAGTTTAAGCCATCCCCTTGAGGGAGGCTTACTTTGGGAATGGGAAGAATATCCAGAAGTACCTATAACGTAAAACCGGTGAAGAAGCATCAGGAAATCTTTTTTTAAAAAAATTAGGGGTTTTTATCCAATTATAAAACATTTATTTTTTTTCTTCTTCTCAAAACCCCTGAACAAATATTTTTTAAGTCATACCCTTTAAGGTCTTGCAGCTCCTTGAAACATTCATGGCATCTGAGCTGTCCCTCACCTAGATGCTGCTCACTATCACATGAGATTTTCTTTTCATTCCTGAGCCCACAAATCCCCTCACTAATCTCAAAGAGGGGACAGCAAACTGATTTCTTCTCTTTGTTGTATTTTAAGACTCTTTAATTATTGGCTTTGGACTCCTGAAATTCCTCTTTTGCTGACCTAATATCTAGTTCACACCTGACCTGTTATACTTTATATTGATGGACTATCTTTTCAGTTTTTGAAAGATTCCTTTTTCTCTATAATAGTTTTTTACACTTAACTTGCTAGCTAATTATGCTGTTCCAGGCAAATCAGTTTTAGTGGCTAGTAATTTTGATATCCTGTACACATTTATCCCAACTTCTAGTAAAATGTTCCTGTGGGTTGTTGGCTTTTAAAAAAATCTACCTTTCTTTTACAGAATTAAATACTTGTATATTTCAAAAGCAAATACCCTGATCCACATTGTTTTGCAATAATATTGTTAATATATTACAAACATAAACTCAGGAAACCCTACCATAATACCATTTGGCTGATTGTCCACTTATGACATTATTCCTAACTTAATCAAACCTCAAAACATCATTTTGTCTTTTGATGTATTTTTATGTAACCCATTTATTAATGATTAGATAGGGTATGCTGTTGACCACATGGTGGATTTATTTTTCTCCTTTCACTGGGATGTTGAATTTAATAGAGATATAATTGGTATAATCTCTGGACAGACCCACAGAAAGAATACATTTTCATGGAGTAACACCAGAAATGGTGGATCTTTAGGGTATTATCACTAGGGACTTTAGAAGTCAATGTTTTCATGATTATATGACAAAGGTTCCAAAAACAATTTTATCTAGCACCTACTTTTAGACAAATTTCTCTATCCTGATTAAATTTAGTCCAGAACTCTGATTTAGAGACTTATATTTTAACTCTTAACCTTCATGTGCAAAAAGTTTTTTTCTAAGCTGAAATAATTTAATTCATTATCAATAAAAACATCTGTTTAGTACATACTGTGTGTGACATTGTCCCATGTTACAAGGAATCATGAAACAAATTGTAAGTTACGGTTCAGTTCAGTCAAACATTTATGGTTATGGATGAACTAAGGTAAATCAGAAAAAAGATATGTTTTTAAATTTAGCTTATCCTTTGATACTTCAAAGAATAAAATAAGTATTGAAGAATGAAATAAATTTTAAAACACAGGTTGTATTTTATTTGAATTGGTTTTAATTTTGTCCCAACAGGTTCATGAAGTGTACAGAATCTATTTGTTGTCCCTCTTCCTGGGATATTTATTACAGTTTGAAAATCCAGCTTTATTGGTATCTCCTTTATTAAGCTTAGTAGCTTCCTTAATGCTTGCTAAATGCCTACAGGTAATTATGGTCTATCTTTATTCTGTGTTGTTGTTTTTTTTGCTTCACTTTTTTTAACCAGTGAACTATAGTTCATGTATATCTTTGTTCACAGCTGAATGTGAAAAAAGGAACTCGTATAGCCAGAATGATGAAAGTGATGTATTTTTATTTGATATTTACACTAACAGTGATGCTGAATGTCGTAATGAAGGTAAACTTTTTTCAGAGATTAATAGAGAAAGATAAACTGAATGATAAAATATATTGGATATAATTGTCCACTAAAAATAAGAGAGCAACAAGGTGTTGACGTTTTTAACATTATAATTTTCATTTGAACATTGACCAGACCTAGTTGAGTTGACAGACAGAAGGAGAGGACAAGTCTTGAAAGAGCCAGAATAACTTAGCTGTTATGGGGGCCATTATTCAAAATAATGAGACTTTTAAAGAAGGACTCCTCCTATTTGGGGCATTTTATTTTCTAAGTTAACTGAGATTTCCTTCTGAAAAGTTGTTTTACTTCAACTTTGAGTCTTCTTTTTAATATATACTGTTTTATGCAATGTGCTAGATTACATTTTTCACTTAAAATTTTTACTTGCCGTTACCCAATCTAATCATAATGGAGTAAATGCATTTCAGAAGAAAGAACTGTGTGTTACTTTATAAACAGTTGAGTTCATTGTTAACATTCATATCATATGCTTAATTATTATAATTTTGCCTTGTTATTTCTCTGTGTTCATTCTTATTATATTAACATATGTAAACATATCTTTACTCCCTCAGACATTTGTTCCACACAAAGAAAATGGGCATATGTTACAGTTCCTTGAGGCAAAATTTGGACTAAATATGACTAAGTAAGTTTGACCTTATTACTTGTTATCTAGAAAATAAAGAATAAGCTGTTCAAATTAGAGAACTGTTATTTATAGAAGAATTAAGGAGATTTTTTTTCATCTTTTCAAAAAAAAACCCTACATTTATATCCTTCCATAGAGAAGATGTAATTTGAAAAACCCCAACCACATTAGTGCGGGTTTTTCCCTTATTGTGATAAAGCAAAACGATAGGACAAATAGGGGAGGGGTTTGAAAGAACTAAGAACCACGTTAAGTTAAACATAAGTTAGAGCCAATATTAAAGGCTTGACAGTTTTAAATAAAGATTGCTTAGGGTGGGTTGTTTCCTAAGTGTACTGAGAATGCCATCTGAAAAGCTGGTTTGATCCTTGGGTGAAGAAATTTACTTTGTTGATTTTTATTTAAAACACTTAGAGGAGGAGCTTTTCTACCAGAAGGAAGATCCTGTATCAGAAGCAATTTGAACTCTCCTATACTAGGTACATGATTCTGCATAAAATCTGACAAATGTAATGAACTCTCAGAATTCAAGTACATTGTAGGAGTGCCTCCTCTTTTGTTAACCCTTTTGAGTTCTATTACCCTTTCTCCAGAACCATGAAGCAAATACTGGGTTGTTTCTTTCATAGGAAAGCATGTTTATGTACAAGTAAAATAACGTGACAAACCATTTTTTCATTGTGGTCAGATATAGATATAAGTTAAAACTGTAATATTTAATAATACAAATTAAGACTCAACCTGTACTTCAGTACTTTAAGGATCTGTATACTTTGTCAAGTGTGAGTATACCTTTCAGAGATGCAGATTATAACTCCTTTAAGAATTAGTTGGTGCTATGTGAGAACTGAGAATGTTAAGCCTAGAGGAAAGATGGAGGGAGAACATGATAGTTGTCTTCAAGTATTTGAAGAGCTACCATGTACAAGTGGGATTAGACTTCTTCTGCTTGACTCCAGATGGTAGAACTAAGCAGTGGGTGGCTGTTGCAAAGAGGCAAATTGGTAAAGAAAAAACTAGCAATTAGAGCTCACCAACAGTGGGCTGAGCTGCTTTGGAAAGTAGTTAGTTCCTCTTCATTAGAGGTCTTAAAACCAAGACTGGGTGACCACTTCTTGGTGTGTTGTAAGGGGAGATCTTGATTAAATATGGGTTTGAATAGATGAGTCTATTAAGAGTCAAGAAGGCTAAAGGTAGAAAGGGCCCTTTTGAAAAATGCATGCTTAGGTGACTGAAAAGTGCATGTTTGCATTAAAGTTCAGTCTTTCGTTTCACTGTAAGTTAATTCAAAACCATATTTTTCTGTGCAACATTTTAACCTTAAATTCCTGTTGTTTAAAAACACTGTTATGTTTAACCTCAAATTTCAAATCAGCAAATAGGCTTTTTTTCTTATTGTGATCTTGAATCGTGTTCCATTGATGTCTGTGGTCAGTGATTTTACTTGCTTAGAATATTATCTTAACGAAGCCAAAATGATAGGTTTGTTTCCATCCGGGACAGTTAGCTAAAAACCCTCTAAGTGAGTGATTGGATGATAAAACAGATTCACATACGACATAGATACTTTGCTTCCAGAAAAATACCATTGCACTTTATACAAAGAGAGATCATTGTTATGCTGTTGCAAATATATTTGAAGAACAAAGTTTTCTGTTTTTAATTGAAAGGTAATTTGACATTCAGTGTACATGAAAACTGTGGATCCTTTTCATTGTCATGCTTTTTTTTCTCTTATAGGAATTTTACAATGAATTGGCTCCTTTGTCAAGAATCCCTGCAGGCTCCATCTCAGGATTTTTTTTTGCGATTGACACAGTCATCTTTATTGCCTTTTTATATTTTAGTTTTAATTATTTGCCTTTTTTCTGTGATACAAGCTATTTTTAGGAGAATCAAGTAAGTATCCAGAAGGCAGCAGAGAATAGGCGAAAGCGCTTGGGTTCAGAATACCTCAGTTTGAGTCCCAGCTCAGCTCCTCGCCCTGTTGTTCTGAACAGAGGCAGATCATTTAGTGCTAATTCGAAGTTTCAGTGTCCACATCTGTAAAATGGGGATAATCCTTATACTGTCTACGTAGAAGGTTGTTAGAAATATCAAAATAGAAAAATTTATGCAAAGTACTTTGTAAATGTAAATATATATATTTGCTAGCTATCATTATCATTGCCCAAAATACTGTAGCTAAATGTAAAGTTTCTGTTTTGTAGTGTGTTTACATTTCCTAGTAAATAAGAATATTGTTAAGTTCTTCCTTCAGTGCTTTGTAAGATTCTGTTATTTGTGAGTAGTTAAACCAGTGAAAATTGAAACTTAATCTTCAACAATCAAAAATCTGGCATCTAACCAACTGTAAACTCAGCGTCTGAATAAGTAGTGAAACTTTGTAAGATAGATGCAAATTATTTTCTGATTATTCAGATGTTGAGTTGACTCTCTAATAAAAGTAACTGCCATTGCTTCCATTTTCGGTAGTAAAAATGAAGTTGATAATCTAATGTGGATTAGAGTAGAATTTATTTTCTTTTGAAATAGTAATGTTTTGTTATTGTACTCAAGTTATTGGAAGAAATATCCCTATCTTCTTAAATAAGCTTTTACGGAGGAAGTTCACTTATTAGTCTAATATTTAGTTAAGCAAGATGTTTATAACTTTTAAAAACCTGGTCAATGATACTAGCCATGATACTCTTAACTACCATTTATTTTAACATTGACTAGTGAATACTAACTGACCTGGGGAAATCTGAAAGGCTTTTCAAAAATTGTATTTCCTGAATTGATTTTCATTCTTGAATCAGTTTGGCAACAGGTAATGGCAGCTGGCATTCTCTGGAAGTCATCTGAAAAGACTTAGAAGTCTTCTCTGTGGATTAAATGGCCAAGGCTAATAGGTCCAGATATTTGTCTAACAGAAGATATTTCTAGACACTAAAAATTTTTGATATTTCTTTCATTTAATATTTGAGTTATGAGTTACGACCTGATTCAAAGCAACATTCAACATCCTTGAATTTTTTTATGTGAATTTGTAAAAATTAAAAATGCTGCTTTGTTTCCACAGTGGCAAACCCCTAAAAGAAATAGTTACCCTTGAAGATGGTCGAATTGGAGAAAGACCAGAAATAGTTTATCATGTAATTCACACTATTTTACTGGGTTCTCTTGCAATGGTGTTAGAAGGGTAAGTATAAATTTATTTGGCCTATGTATTTTTAGGGTGAATTTTTTTTCTCTTTTGGCAAAAAGATATTTTAGGAGAAGTGCATATATAATTTTATGCAACTAAATCCATGCAAACTTTCATGATTTCCAGGAATTCATCCTGGAGTGTTATCTACCTCCTTTAGCATTTTGAAATTTAATAGAGTAGCCCTTAATTTTTATTTCCCTCATTTCCTTTACAAATAATTACCACATTTATTATTTAGATAAAATTTATTTTATAGTCTTCATTTGCATAATTATTTTTCATGTATCTTCTCCTTACATAAATTTGATAGAACAGTGGGTTTTCAGATATTAATGTCAAGCTAAATTTGTGCCATAATTGCTTAATTAATCTGAATTTTTCTAATGATCCTCGTGTTATTGATATTCATATCTTCAGATCTTCTTCCTTTTTTCCTACCTCTGCACAAACTCAGAATTCCTTATCAGTTACTAAACCTCACAGAAAATCATTTAGCTTCACAAGAATTAAGTGTCTACCATGTGTATAGCACTGAGGGCATAAATGTGAAAAAACACACATTGCTCTCAAAAATAAAAAAGCATCCAGTCAAACAAAGGGGTATATACACCAGTGGTTTCAAACTCAAATAGAAACAGATCCTTGTGGTTACACATTGACTTAGAAAACCACCAATTAAGATGACCATGTTGCATTGTATTTTTATTTATTTTGTTAAACATTTTCCAGTTACCTTTTGTTTGTTTGTTTTATTTTGTTTTTTTGCTAAGCAGTAGGGTTAAATGACTTGCCCAGGCTCACACAGTTATAAGTTGTCAAGTGTCAGGCCAGATTTGAACTCGGGTTCTCCTGACTCCAGGGCCGGTGCTCTATTCACTGCGTTAACTAGCTGCTCCCCTTATTACCTTTTAATCTGATTTGGACTACACTTGGGAGGTTTGCAGGCTATGAGTTTGTTGCCTCTGACATACACAAAATGATTATGATGCAAGGTAGAATATATTAAGTACAAAGGAAAGATTCAAAGAAAATGTAATAAGTTTAAGAGAGAATTTCTTTTAGTCATGGGGATCAGAGAAGGCTCTGCAGAAGATCTGGAACCTGGTCTTTAGGGAGCAGAGAAGGTTTTTAATGTGTAAAGGCATGCATTCCAGGTCTGAAGGATGTCCTGCTCAAATGAATAGAGTTGTGAGAGGGCAAGATGATATTGAGGAATACCTAGCAGTTCAGTTTGGCAGAGAGGTCAGATGACTTGCTTGTGGTCACATGAGTGATTCTATTCTTACTAGACTTAAATGTACCTAATTTATTTTTTATTGATTTAGAGTCATTTTATTCTTATTAACTAATTAAAATGACTTAACTATTTGTATCTTTGTAAAGTGTACATATTAATAAGTAATGAAAAATTCATCCCTCTAGTAAGAAAAGTAGTATGTTTTGTGATGATAACGATAATTTACATTATATAAGGTTCTCCTTTGATTTTTACAGCTTAATGTGGTAAGTACTCTTATTCTCCCCAATTTACAGATAAGGAAACTGAACCTTAAAGTAATTAAAAGCCTTGACCAGGGTCACACAGCTAGCACGAAGATATCTAAGTCAAACCTAGGTTTTCCTGAACTTAGAGGTGTCAAATTCAGAGTCTCTAAGTGCTCTGCAAAACTCCTGATTAAAATGTAATTGGGAATTGTTTAACCAAGTAAATGAAAATATAGTTCAACAGAGAAAATGTTAATTTGTGGTTTTCTAAGTCAAAATGCAGTGTTTCTATTTGAGTTTGACACCACTATACTACATCACACTGTCTCTACATTAAAGAATTAAAGTATGCCCATTACAGTCTACAAACAGTACTTGGAATTATATCACTCAAAGATTAATAGAGTACATATCTCTAAATATATCCCCCAATCATAATTGCTAGCAATTTCCTCAATGATTTCTAGGCATGTTTTTAAAGCTATTTATTTAGCTTGGTAAACATTCTATAATTATCTATTAGCAAAAAAATATAACTCATTGGTATCTGATTTTTAGTCTTCTGCACTGAGGAATTGGAGCTGTGTGGCAAGTTAGAGACCCTGCTGCTTACCCTACCCTTTCAGTGACATTTTTTGCAGCCTCTTATGTCTTATTTCCCTGGTGTTCCCATCTTACCTAATATGTTACCAAAAGAGCTTTCTTATTCCTCTTTTATTCCCACCTTTCATTTTTTTCTACTATATAATTTCTTCTGTTGAATCTTTGATCCCCAGTGATCCATCTTTTTGTAGCCTTCCCTTACTTGTCTTCTCTTCCTTCTTCAAGCAGAACTTGTCCTTTTGGTGGGTGGAAGTTGGGGTGGGGTGTTAATATCTAAAAAGTTAAAAGTTCTTTTTTGCTATGACCTTATTTTTGTGAAAACCTTTTAATGTAAGACCATCTAGTGGATTTGTTGCAGAGATCTTTCCTCATTGCCAGCATGATACAGTGAAAAGGGCCCTGGGATGTCTGACTTGAATCAGCATTCTTCCATTTATTATCAGTGTGTCATTAGTTACACAGGTAGTAAACCTCTTGATCTCTCTGGGCCTCAGTGTCCTCATTTACAACTGGACCTGATGATCTCTGCATTCTCTTCTAGTTTCCATTCTCTCACTACTTCAGCCTGTGAAGCAGTCATCTGTCAGAATCAGCTGCTGTCCTTTCTTTTAATCATTTAAGAATCTAATGTTTTCAGTATGTCAAATCTAAACTATTTAGCTTTATACTCAGAATTCTCATGTCACTCTCCTTTACCACCCCCTCCCCTGAATACATCATCCATAAACTGTTTCTTTACTGCAGCCATGCCAGTCTCTTTGCCATGCTATACACATAATTTGCTAATCTCAGCTCCATACCTTTACTTATACCATTCTACTTAACAAGGAAATCTCCCCTCCCTTCTGCTAAATTCTATTGTCTCCTGCACCATATGCATATCGTTTTACCTCTCTGAGCCCTCAGTTTCCTTATATGTAAGATGAGGATAATAATATTTGTACTACCTACCACTAGTATCCCTCATAATTTATGAAAACCTTTTAATGTAAGACTAGTGGATTAGTTGCCAACTATTTTTCTCATTGTCATTCTACACTTCACTGAGGTGTAGAAATCATGCCTTTTTTATTCTTGTCATTGCAAAGTATCTAGTACCATGGCAGGCAGTAGGTGTTCAGTAAATCTTTGTTGACTCAGTGAATGAACATTATTTCTTAGTTCCACAGCTATCCTATTATGTAAATACTTGTTGATTAATGTAAGTAGATATAAATTGTCGTATGGAGATCATGTATGTGGTACACATTCAGATAATATTCTGTCAGTAGCAGCAAGTATCAAGGGACATCTGATATAAGAATAATATTGTTCTTTTTGCTGTTAGCCTTTTAGGTCAGAGGACATATCCCTTCCTTTAGTGTAATCTATGATGACTTTTATTTATGAATTTATTTTAATATTTTAGAAACAATCCATGTTTTTCACCTTTACTGCGTCTTGAGTTGTGTGAGTTTACTATCTACTTTGTAATTAGTATTTCGTTACATGTAGAAAACTACGTGCCAGTCATGGCTTTATAGATTTTTGAGTGTGTTTTCCTTGATTTTCATTCTTGTGAAATTTGGAATCCTAATCTTTTGAATCTCTCATCATATAACAGTTTCCATGTGTGTCATAATTATGTCATTGGCTGTGAAATAATTTAATCATTGGTAAAAAGCAAAGGCTAGGCTTGACCTATTCCTTATTTAATATTGCAGTATCATCTGGGTTAGAAACATAGCTCAAGTGTTGACCAGGAAAAAAAAATACTTCCCCCAAAAGTTCAGTGTCTCATCTTTACATCATTTTTTTTGTCCTCCAGCATGAAATATCTTTGGACTCCTTATGTGTGCATGCTTGCAGCATTTGGTGTATGTTCTCCTGAACTTTGGATGACCCTTTTCAAGTGGCTTCGATTGAGGACTGTACACCCAATATTTTTGGTGAGCTGCTGTTGTTCTGTGTTGTAATGCTAATGAATGAAATTGGAATAACACAGAATAGAATAAACATGAATAAGATCACTGGGATTCACAAACATAAAACATAAAAAATTTTAAGTGATTCGGTCATGTGAGAAGTCTTCAAAAGTTAGTTACCTAACTAAAAGTTATGGTTATCTTTCTATGGTTAGATAAGCCCAGTAGTAGATCTTTAATAGTAATAATCAGATTCTTTTCTTCTGATAACCACGCCAGAGTAATTTATAGCAGTCTTATCTTCGAACATTAACAGTTAGCACCCAACCTCTTTTCTTTTTTATTGTAATTCAGCTAACTCGTCAGCTTTTTATTAATTTTAGTAACTGGCATGTGCTGAGTAGGTATGTACTCAAACATATATTGAAATGATTCACATTGAATATGTGGTGGAGATGTTATTTTTTACTTTTGCTTTACTCATTTCTTCCATTTTCGGTTGTGTACTTAGTCTCCATTTTTATACATATTGAGTCAAGAAATTATTTACAACTATTTGTTACTCCTTTTAACAATATCCTAAACAAAAAGTTCATGTAGAAGGAAGATTGGACATAGTCTTTATTATCATAGCATGCACAAGTAGGACTAGCAAACTGCAAGTATGAGGGGCAGATTTTGATCCAGCATAAGGAAGGATTTTATTAAAATAGTGATTTCTCCATGGATTGAATTGCATGTCAAGGTTTTGATTTCATTATCACTAGAAGTGTTTAAAGAAAGACTAAGTGACCAACTGGTAAGGGGTGAGAAGATATAGGGGAAAATCTTTGTTGAGTCAGAAATTGTACTATATGACCTCTAAAGTCTCTTCAGATTCTGATTCTGTAATATTTAGATTGCATTAAGACCTTTTGTAACATAATCAATAATATAAATGAATGTGAAAATCTTAGTGATCCCTGACCCTTTTTGTTTTAGGCTCTTATTCTGAGCATGGCTGTACCTACTATTATAGGTTTTAGCTTATGGAAGGAGGTAAGATCTTTTTTTGTTATTTAAAAATTTATATGACCCTCATTATTATATTGTGGTAGAAATTAATAGGCTTTCCTGTGTGACCCTGGGCAAGTCACTTAACCCTGATTGCCTAGCCAAAAAAAAAAAAAAGAAAGAAAAAGAAATTAATAGGCTTTCTATCTAATCTATAATGTGGCTTAATGTATTGACAGAGATGAACTCTAGATATTTATAATTGTAAAGATATATAATAAAAGGCTAAAACCTTTTGAGACTATACTCTTACAAATAAAATGTTATTAACTGTAGCCTAATACTACTACTGTTTTAATTTTTGATTGGTAAACAATATTGATTTAAAGATACAGAAAATGAAAACGACATACTGTTCTATTTTAATCTTTATATGGAGGAACTAGGTAGTTTTGCATAGAGACAAAATCCAACTTCTTTTAAACATTCTAGTGAAGTATATCTTAGAAATGAAATTTTGACAATCTAGTATATGAAAGCTGGTATATCTTTGATTTTTACTAAAAAGCAATGTTTAGCACTGGGATGCAAGAAACATTTAATGCTATCGATTTTATTTTTCATATCTAATCTATGAAGAGGCAGCCTGTCATAGTGGTAGAGAATTGGCTTAGAAGACAGGAAGAACTGAGTTCACATTCTATCTCTGACACCTGGTAATGTGGGTGATACAGGGCAGGACAGTTAACCACTCAGTCAGTGCTCTGGACAAGAGGTGTCAAACACATAGCAGGATCCAGAGTAAAAGTAGTTGAAAAATATTTAACAAAATGAATAAAAATACAATAAGACATGTTAATGTGTGGTTTTTAAGTTAATATATGGCCTGCAGGGACCATTATGTATAGTTTAGAGAGTTCCCACCCCACCCCTTCTATTTTGAGTTTGACACCATGATGGCTCTGACCAGTTTCAAAGAAGGTACCAACCTGCATTAGAAGATAAAATTTCCTTACCTGGCTGTTCCCTCCACCAACGAAATGAAGTCTCAGATCCAATACCTCTCCCTCACCCAAGATAGACAAATTTTTCTTATTACTACGACACTCATAACAGTATCTTATATCTCTTACTTGTTATAGCATACATATGAGCTGTTCCCATTTGTAAGATGTGAGAACAGAGAATAGATCGCAGACATGTGAGCTCTCCCCTAAAGTCATATAACAATTGAATTGGTAAAATACTCATAATGTAGCATTTGGCTTTCCTCTTGTTTTCTTACTTACCATTTATGAAGCTCTTAAAATTTTTGGCATAAGGCAGTCTTACCATACACAAATGGATTTTGTAAATATCAGTAATGAATTAGAACATGTTAAGTGTGGCTATTTTTAGAAAATTTTTCCCTACAAGAAATCATAAGGTAAAGTTCATAGTTTTTTTGGTGTGTGGCTTTTGTTTTGTTTTTGTTTGGGTTTTTTTTGCAAGGCAGTTGGGGTTAAGTGACTTGTCTAGGGTCACACAGCTAGTAAGTGTCAAATGTCTGAAGCTGAATTTGAACTTAGGTCCTCCCAACTCCAGGGCCAGTGTTCTATCCACTGCATTACCTAGCTGCCCCTACTTTTTTGATTTTCAAGAAAAATTTAATATCTTAGGAAAGCCACTGACTCTATTGCATAATTGATTTTATGAGTCATTGATCCAACAATCTTAAATGGGTTACATAATATGATTTGTATAAGATATAAATCTGAAATAACAAATTTTGTATTGAAAGTAAACATGGAATAAGAAATTGGGACATTGTCTTCATTATGAAGCCAAAGACATCCAAAGAATTGATACCAACAAAGCTAATAATGTTGAGAATAAAATACTGTACTAATTCCAGGTTTCCTAGGCATCTATAATGTATGACACATAAAACTTAGTAGAAGCTTTCAAAAGTTACTGATAACTTTGTAAACCATTCATTTGAAACTAGGATTAAATTTGGATGTGTTTGACAGAATAGGTGGAAATAATTATTAATCTAATTGTTATTTAGGAACCTTTGTTGAACTCAAAGTTCAACATAAAATTGACTTAGCTGTATGAATTAGGCTTAGTAAAAATAGACACTTCATTGAAAGAGAGCCGAAACCCATGGCATTCTTTGCTTCAATGAAAATAGTATTAATTTGTGTTGTATTCTATATTTCTTTTTAAGATCTTAGGTTCTTTGAAATATTATGAAAATGTTTAGAATTTTTAGTTTATAATGTATACCTTTGGGGCTTTTGTTTTGCCTTTTAGTTTTTTCCAAGAATAATGACAGAACTTTCAGAACTACAGGAATTCTATGACCCAGATACAGTGGAACTTATGACCTGGATAAAGTAAGAATTGAACTTCAGTAATAACATATTTTGTCCTATGTAATTTTATTTTAAAATACCTTATGTGTTTAGCTGTTTTAATTAATTTATTTGTTGCTACAATGCGTGATTCAAAGGAGAAAATATTCCCACCTAAAAAGTTAATTATTAGACATATTTAATGTTTGAAATTTTCAAATGCAGATTTTAAAAATTAATAAAATTTTCAAATCTAAAACATTGTAGTTTAAGATTAGGATTTGTAGTTTTGTTAAATGTTTCTTTGGCTAATTTACTTTGAGAGGTATTACACTTGTGAATTTGAACTACATCTGAAAGAAGTGTGTTGTCTATAAAATGTGTAATTTAGTTTAGCAAACCTAACGTGTACGATGCTGGTCAAATCACTTGACCTTTCTGGACCTCAATTTGCTCATCTGTAAAATAAAGGTGGTCAGATAGATGGCCTCTGGAGTCCCTTCCAGCTCTAAAAATGTAATTCTGTTATTACAGAATACTAATAACATAATGCAGTGTGGTGAAAAGAGCCCTGGTCTTAGTTTCAAATACCAAGTCTTATACTTACTAAGTATAAAACTATGGTTGAGTTACTTAACTTCTCTCAGACTCATCTGTAACATGGAACCACTAATTATGTCAGTAGTACCCACCTCACAGCATTGTTCTGAAGAAAATATCTTTTATAATTTGATGGGCTCTGCACATATCAGTTACTGTGATTAACTAACTTACCAAGTTTTGTTTTTGTTTTTTCACAAAACTTTGAAGTGTATTAAGTTCCTATTGTATATGAGACATTCTGTGGAGGTACTGAGGGTCCAAAAAGAGAGAAGAGACAGTTGCTGCTCTCAAGACTTTACAGCTTTGTTGAGGAAAAGATACTCACAGACAACTTTGATCTAGGGTGGTGAAAAAAGTGCAAATGCAAGGTCCCAGCCGAGTACTAGGGGAAATTTGAGGAGGCAGAGAGCACTTTTCACTTGTGGAGGTTGGTGAAGACATCCTAGGGAAGCGGTTCCTGAGCTGGCTCTTCAAGACAGGGACAAACTAAAGAAGGCAGAGGGGGATTGAAGGGAGGGGAGCTTGTTCCAGATAGAGACAAGTATGTCCAAAGACACAGAAATAGGAGGTGGTAGGATGGGAATGGAAATGACGAAACAGATCAGTAGGAGTTGCTTAGGGTTAGAAAGGAAGGGGCAACCGTATTGTGACAGACTTTGAGTACCAACATCAGTTTGTGCTTTATGTGGTATTGGAGATTTTTTAATGGAGGAGTGACTCAATCAGAGCTGTGCATTGACCATGTGTTTAGGCAAGTCATGTGAAGGGGTACAACAGAGGAAATAGCACAGTGCCAGGCACAGAGTAGACGCTTCAAAAGTGTTTATTGACTGACGGAATAGACTGGTTGCAAAAAAGATTAGTTAGCAGAAAACTAGTCTAGACAAATATAAAATTATTGTTAGCATTGTAAACTGTGAAGCACTACAAATAATTTTTGTGATATATTTTCCTTATTGAACTTCTAGTCTTTATGTAAACTGTTCTCATTATTATGCATTCTTCTTCAGTCATGTGACACAGTAGAAGGAGAGCAAACCTTAGAGTCAGAGCCATGTGGGTTCAATTCCTTTGTCCTACTGGCCAGTCACTTGACCTCTCAGTGTCCCAGGTATCTCTGAGGCTATAAGTTACAGAGGTCTTATGGATCTTTGTTGGTAGAGAGACCTTCCTCACCAGGAATTCCCTTCATCAATAAAATCACAGGTCCAAGGTAAAACAGTGCAATTTGCTAATATTGAAGCAATCTCACTACACCATATCCTTAGCTACATAGAACTTTTCTCTCAACAAGTCAAGTAACAAATTTCTGGATATGTCATTCAAAACTCTCTACCAGTCACCTCATCCTACCTTTCTGTCCGTATCTTTAACTTTAACTATCTCTATCACTCCATTTGAATCAACCTTACTTCCTTATTGCTCTTGTATGCTTGATTCTTCCTCTTTGACTTTATCTAAGTCATCTTTAACTCAAACATTTGTCCAGCTCAGATTATTAACCAGAATACATTTATCTACTCTTTTAAAGGAAACCTTAACATGCATCTTTTTAAGGAAGTTTTTATATGCTCCAAACCAGCACTTTTATAACTCTAACATCCGATCCTTGCTATTTTGTAGCAAAAATATATGCCTCCCTTATTGATTTCCAGTGGTTCTCCTTAATATAGACTTAAAATGGACTTTTACAACTCTATAGTAGTGAATGCTTTTGGTTTATGATTTTAAAAGGTGTTACATTGCATATCCTGAGGTATTTTTTAAATCAGTCTTTAAACTTTCATTAAGTATCTACTTTATACCAGGCACTGTGCTAATATAAGGGAGAAAAACCTAGTAATTATTACTCTCTTATAAGCAAACAAACCAGAATTTATACATCCAAATGAGAATTGTCCCTTATGCAGCATTTGTCGCCATTGCTCAAAAGAGTGCCTTACATCTAATAGGCTTTTAATAAAATAGTTTGTAGAGTTGAATTAGAATAGCCATTAGTATCAGATGTTTATTCTGAGAAGGGAAGCTTATACTGTGGAAACAATTCTGGATTGGGGATCATGTCATCTATTTTGTCTCAGGTTTGCTAATAACTAGAAGTATGACTTTAGAAAAGTAAATTCATCTCTCTGGGCCTCCATTTTACCATCTGTAAAGGTAAGGGTGTTGGATTAAATAATTTATGAAGATCTCTTCCAGTGTAAAATGCTAAAAATGAAACTTTTAAAAAATATATCCTTAGTGTTGCACGTTATCATTTTGAGTTTTTATTGTTTGAAATAGTAATTCAGAGTCAGGGGAGGCTCTACCTCATATTATTACATCATGTCAGGCTGCATCGTACTCTTTGGCAAAAAAATAAGGTGGGAGACCCATAGAGTCACAAGATTGAGTCTTCTTCTGTGGCCTCCACTGCTTCTCAATAAAGTTCCCAAAGTGGAATTCTCGAAGTATTTTGACTAAAAATAAGTATCTTTCTTTTTAAAAATTAGCCTTGGTGCTTTTATAATTATACTTTGTACATGTAAATCCTGGTTTAAAACTATATGATCTCAAATTGTGGCCTAAATAGTACCTATTTTTTCTTTTTGCTAATGTAGGCACATCTTAAAAGTCATCTTGAAATTCTAGGTTTGCATCTAACATTATGCAGCCCTGCTTCTATGATTACTAAGCATTGTGGATCTGTCGCTATGTATAATGTGTAGTTTGCTAGTCTTTTAGAGTTGATATAAAATATTGTTTTAAACAATGTACTTGTCTGTTTAATATGTAGATCAATGTTGTTTTTGCAGAAGGCAGGCTCCAGTTGCAGCTGTGTTTGCAGGGAGTCCACAATTGATGGGTGTGATTAAGTTATGCACTGGATGGATGGTGACCAATTTGCCTCTTTACAATGATGAAGACCTTCTGAAGAGAAATGAAAATGTAAGGCATTCACAATTTTCCATCTGGGGAATCATTTGGGCACTTGGTTTCTTGTCACAAACCTATTTTAATATAGTTTGCTTATTAAGATATCTGTGAAAATGTGCAAATGTTCAGCTGATTGTAGCAATAGGAAAGTCTGAAACAACTTTAGAAAGCTAAGTTTAAATCAACTTTTTTTCTCTTAAGGCAGTACAAGGTACAAAACTGTTAGAGGAGCTAAAATTAAGGCTTGTCCTTTACTAAATTCTTTGTTTTTAAAACAGTTTTGAAAAGATTCAAGAAGCAAGAGCTCAGTATTCTGGATTACTCTCTGTCTCCCCAAACGCTGTATTTTCCTACCGCTGGGCCTTTGATCAAGCTTTTCCAAATGCGGAAAATATCCTTCCTTCCTCTGTCTTTACCTATTAAATTCCTATCTATTCTCTTTAAAATCCAACAAATATCACCTCTTCTAATAAGATTTCCTTAATCTTGTCAGTCATGAATTTTTTCCTCTGGGATCCCACTTAATACTTTTTTTTTTTAAATCTCTCTACATGTATTTATGCTGTATAATTCATGTTTATTCTCCATCTTTATCCATGTACCAGACTAAATTTGATGGGCAGAGGGGACTTTGTTACCTAAATATCATATCTCCCCTAGTGCCTGGTAAGCATTTAATAAATGTTTCTTTGATTAGATTGAATTAGATTGAATATAGCTACCATTGCTATAATAATCATCTAAAGTTGAGATTAAGGCTCAGTGGATAGAGTGCGGGGCCTAAAGTCAGGAAGACCCATCTTCGTGAGTTCAAATCTGGCTTCATATACTTACTAGCTGTGTGACCTTGGGCAAGACATTTAATCCTGTTTGCCTCAGTTTCTTCATCTGTAAAACGAGCTGGAGAAGGAAATGGCAAACCACTCCAGTATCTTTGCCAAGAAAACCCCAAATGCACAACTGAAACGAATGAGTAACAACAAAAAGTTTAAATTGCTAACTGCAGACTCTTCTATTTTTCATACCCAAATTTCAAGTCTGCTACTAGGCATTCAATTTATATGTTTAACCACACTTCAAAGTCCACATTTCCAAAACACTTACCTTTCTCTCCCTGCCAGTAAATCAACTTTTCTTCTTGCCTTCCCTGTTTCTATTAATGGCACTACCTTCTTTCCACTTAAACTAGGTTAGAATCATCTTCTGTGCCTTCCTTTCTTACATACCACATTCAATCATTTGCCTTCTACCAATTCTATCTTTCCTATCATCTTTTCCATTCCACTACCCTACTTCAGACCATCATTGCCTAATTTAAGTTCTTTGAATTAATTTTAATAGATTGTAGAATTTTAGGGCTAAAGGAAATTTAGAGCCCATCTAGTGTCTATCATTGTGATTGGAATTATTTTCCATATCCAAAATAAAGCAGAGAGCAGGGAGAAGAGCTAAAGGAAGGGAGAATTTTAAAAGGGTTTTTCAGGTCCTTCAGAGTAGAGTCAAGAGAGTTTAAGGAATTTTTCCAAATTCCCATAGCTATAACTAGAACCTGCATCTGCTGACTTCCAGTCTAATGTTCCAAACCTAATTTTTTTTATTGTAATTATTGTGTGTAGAAGCATTTGAGACTTTAAGATAGGCATAGTTTAGAAATTAACAGTTCCTGTCTTATTTAAATATGGAGTAATAATTATCTATGATTCAAAAAACATCAAATAGCTGAAATTTGGTATTTAGCGTTTATAGATCCAGGAGAAAGCATGAAAGAGATTTCTCTTGGATTTTTTTCTTTCCACTAAGTAACTAGTGCTTGCTACCTTTGCCACGTTTTCTTCACTCTTTTCTTTATGGATTGCTTTGGAATATAAGTATATTAGTATTTTTCTTTTTTCTTTTTTTGTTTTTTTCTTGTAGAAGGGTGGATTTTTTTTTTTAAACATGTGTTTTTAAAACTTTTGAGTTCCAAATTTTCTCCCTTCCTCCCTCCCCACCCACCCTCACTGAAAAGTCAAGCTATACATGTGCAGTTATGCAAAACACTTCCATAGTAGACATGCAGTAAAAAACTAACTCTTATTTCCCTTAATCCTATCCCGCCCTGCCATTTATTCTGTTCTTTCTTTTGACCCTGTCCCTCCTCAGAAGTATTTGCTTCTGATTACCCCCTTTCCCAATCTGCCCTCCTCTCTATCATCCCCCTACTCTCTTGTCCCTTTCCTCCTTATTTTCCTGTAGGGTAAGACAGATTTCCATACCCAATTGAGTGTGTATGTTATTCCCTCCTTAAGTCAAATCCTATGAGAATAAGATTCACTCATTCCCTCTCACCTTCCCCCGTTTCCCCTCCATTGTAAGAGCCTTTTCTTTTCTGTTTTTTTGTGAGATAATTTACCCTGTTCTACCTTTCCCTTTCTCCTTCTCCTAGTATAATCCTCTCTCACCCCTTAATTTTATTTTCCAGATATGACCCCTTCATCATCAACTCACCCTGTGCCCTCTATCTATCTGTCTATCTCTCTATATATATACATACAAATAATTTTTTCCCTCCAACTACCCTAATACTGACAAAGGTCTCATGAGTTACAAATATCATCTTTCCATGCAGGAATGCAAACAATTCAACCTTAATAAGTCTCTTATGATTTCTCTTTCCTGTTTACCTCTTCATGTTCCACTTGAGTCTTGTATTTGAAAGTCAAATTTTCTATTCAGCTCTGGTCTTTTCATCAGGAATGCTTGAAAGTCCACTATTTCACTGAATGACCATTTTTTCCCCTGAAGAATTATACTTAGTGTTGCTGGGTAACTGATTCTTGGTTGTAATCCTATCTCCTTTGCCCTCCGGAATATTATATTCCGTGCCTTGTGGTCCCTTAATATAGAAACAGCTAAATCTGGTGTTATCCTGATTGTGTTTCCACAATACTTGAATTGTTTCTTTCTGGCTGCTTGTAATATTTTCTCCTTCACCTGGGAATTCTGGAATTTGGCTACAATATTCCTAGGTGTTTTCCTTTGGGGATCTCTTTCAGGAGGAGATCGGTGGATTCTTTCAATTTATATTTTGCCCTCTGGTTCTAAAATATCAGGGCAGTTTTCCTTGATCATTTCTTGAAAGATGATGTCTAGGCTCTTTTTTTGATCATGGCTTTCAGATAGTCCAGTAATTTTTAAATTCTCTCTCCTGGATCTATTTTCCAGGTCACTTGTTTTTCCAATGAGATATTTCACGTTATTTTCTAATTTTTCATTCTTTTGGATTTGTTTTACAGTGTCTTCATTTCTCATAAAGTCACTAGCTTCCAATTGCTCTACTCTAATTTTTAAGGAAGTGTTTTCTTCAGTAATCTTTTGGACTTCCTTTTCCATTTGTCCAATTTTGTTCTTTAGGGCATTCTTCTCTTCGTTGGCTTTTTGGACCTCTTTTGCCATTTGGGTTAGGCTATTTTTTAAGGTGTTATTTTCTTCAGTATTTTTTTGGGTCTCCGTTAGCAAGCTGTTAATTTGCTTTTCATGATTTTCTTGCATCAGTCTCATTTCTCTTCCCAGTTTTTCCTCTACTTCTCTTACTTGCTTCTCAAAATCCCTTTTGAGCTCTTCCAAGGCCTGGGACTGATGTGTATTTTTCTTGAAGTTTTGGATATAGGAGCTTTGACTTTGTTTTCTTCTTCTGATTGTATGTTTAGATCTGATTTGTCACCAGAGTAAGATAATATAGTCTGACTCTTTTTGCGCTGCTTGCTCATGATCCCAACCAATTACTTGAGTTTTAAATTCTTTGTTAAGGTAAGAGTCTGTTTCCAATGTGGAGAATGTGCTGTCCCAAGCTTCGGGGGGTTATACAGCTGTTTTCAGAGATACTTCTAGAGACCTGAAAAGTGTCAGTTCTTCCAAGGTGGTATGATAAGGGGCAAGGTGTTTTCTCTCCACCGCCACAACAAGCTCCACCACACCAGCGTACCTGCTCGCCCCAGGACCGCCCCTCAGAACTGTGACTCAGATCCAAGCATGGGCAAAGCAAGAGATTCCTGCCTCGGCCCTGGCAAAGAGATCCTTGCAATCCTCCTCTGATCAGCCACTCTATTACCCCTCAGTCTGTGGGCCGGAAGCTCAGGACGCAGCCGCTGTCCCGAGGGCACACTCAGGACTTGTGGCTGAGACCTAGCTTCTTCTCTCACCACAGAAACAGGACTTTTCCCACTGACCTTCTAAGTTGTCTTTGGCGTTCGTGGGTTGAGAAGTCTGGAAACCGCCACAGCTGCCCTCGATTCAGTCCTCTGAGGCCTGCTCCAGGATCGCTGCGGCCTGTGCGCCCACGCCGAACTGCGCTCCTCTCCCAGCCCAGTGCAATACAACTTTCCGATCAGCCATCCAGGCTGTCTTGGGCTGGAAATTTGTTTTACTCTGTTTTTTTGTGGGTTCTGCTGCTTTAGACTTTGTTTAGAGTCATTTTGAATAGGTATTTGGAGGGGTTTGGGGGAAAGCTCTAGCAAGTCACTGCTTTCCCTCTGCCATCTTGGCTCCACCCTATATTAGTATTTTTCTCAACAAATTGTTAATCATAATTTCTTAAATTCCTCTTTGGTTAAGTGCCATGTGTAGCATATAAAATAATAACCATGTCTTTCAGGAAACTTAAATGCAAATTATATATGAATAAATTCTAAAGGGGTGTTGGAAAAGATGATTTGTAAAGTCCTTTCTTGTTCTAACTTCTAACCCTAGGAATTACATTTTAAGCAAAGTTGAACTCCTTTTCCAAACCCTTACAGTACTTTGTCTTCTCCCACAATTGAACCACAAGTTCATCACAGGCAAAAGCCACACGGAGGGTGCTTTTGGGCACTCACAGATCTGCAGTGCACACAGAAGTGTTGAGTAAGTAAATATTGGATGGTTGGTATTTTCATGCATTGTGAAGTCATTATTTTGTTCTCTAATCTCATAGATCTATCAAATCTACTCAAAGAGGTCTGCTGAAGATATTTATAAGATACTTACATCCTACAAAGCTAACTACTTGATTGTGGAAGATGCCATCTGCAATGAGGTGGGAACCATGAGAGGGTGTAGAGTTAAAGACTTATTGGATATTGCAAATGGCCATGTAAGTAATTATTTGGAAGATTAAATACTTAATGTTTATCTTAGTATAGGGAAATGAGGTTCAAAAATTGATTTTCAGGCTTTATTTTTAGAATTTACACTTAAAATATAAACAAAGAAATACAGTTTTTGTAACTATTACTTGAGATTACAAACTTGACTTGGATGTGCCAGTTTAATTTATACATTTATTTCAATTCCTTTTTCCTACTAAGCTTTCTTTCATCCTAGTCTGCAATAAAACTGTCTCTGGCATCTAAAAAATGATAGGGGAGTTGGGTTACCTGATAAGTGAAATTATCTGGGAGATAACTTTCAGAGACATCCTTGACTTTAGAAAAGATCTCTGATGTCAGCTTGATTCACTCCACTGTTTGCTAGCAATCCAGATTTCTTCCATTTCTTCCCAGCTAGTAACATACTTTGTTCCACATGCCTGGAACAGTTTGTTGGGTGAAAATTGATGCTCACTCTGTAACTTCATTTTTCTTTTTTTCTCTTTACTTTCCAAGCTGTATAAATAAAATATTGCATTTATGTATAACATTACTTAAAATTATGTCCTCTAGTTTTTAAATGACAAGATGAAATTGTAACAATTCACTAGGTTTTCAGTAGTACTTGGCATGATATCTTATTATAAAGCTTTTCTTTAAAATGTTAGTTGTCAGTGACGGCGAAATAGTGGAGTCGTATTGGAGAGTCCTGATTTATGTGGAGCTGATAAATTCTCTAGCATTTCCATCCTTTTAATTCCTTCCTCTTTTACACTGTGGTTATGAACCTCATTCCCAAAAACTCTGACCTACGCATACTTGCCCTTTCAGTCTCTTGTTTGCTGTCACTCTCACTTTATTTCACCTTGGGTAGATAATGAGGTGTTATAGTTTAAAATGTCTTACATAATGGACCCAAGCTTGAGTCTGTGGTTCTGGTTAAGAGTCCAAAAAGGAGAGTGGGGTATAAAGTAGACTATCTCCATATCCATCCCTCATCCCTGACCCCTTAGTTAAAGTATAAAGATTTGCCTTGGATAAGCTGCAGTCTTACTTTCTCACCTGGGTAACTGAGAGTTGATAATAACTATACAATTAGAAAATTGAGCTTATGGCCATTTCTCAGTATTTGTTTTTCTAGTCAAATTTGAAGACCAGCAAAAGCTGACTTACGAAATCAGAAAAGCTATGGACTCTCTGCATTCTTAATTTTGAAACCAAAGGAATAATTAATTTTGGTTTCAACAGTCCTGTTGTGGAACCCAAGTATTCATTAACTCATGTAGTGGCTATGCCTTGGTGATCAAATTAAAGCTTAAAGAGCAGATCAAAGATTAATAAATAATATTAATAGATTAATAGTGTGGTTTAATAAAAAGAGCTTTGGATTTGGAGTCAGGAGAAATGAGGGTTTGGATTGTGCCTCTCACTCTACTAGCCATGAGCCTCATTTTCTTCCTCCATAAAATGGAAATAATAGTTATAATGCTTACCCCAGAGGATTATTGGGAGAATCAAACAAGATAATAAATGTAAAGTGCTTTGCAAACTGAAAGTGCCTTAAAATGTCAGTTTTTAATACTGAAATGGTATGCCGTCTATGTATATCAATGATGTAGTGTTCACTGAAAGTTTTGCTACTTTTATTTGATTTTCCCCTAGAGCTAAAGCAAACATTTTTAATTTGCTGTTTTGTGTATTTTGGTATAGGTGGTTTGTGAAGAAGGTGACAATTTTACCTACTCAAAATATGGACGATTTTGCCATGAGATCAAAATTAACTATTCTCCATATGTGAATTATTTCACTAGAGTGTACTGGAATAGATCCTACTTTGTATATAAAATCAACACTGTGATATCTTTCCAGTCCTGAAGCATAGCAAAGCCTTCTTTTCAAAGACTGACATGACATGAAGAGAAATGGAATGCTATTTTCCTACTTATGTATTCTTTTGCAAATCAAAGTTTGGACATTTGAAATTAGTTTTTTTCTTTTCCCCTTGCTTTGTTCCCAGACCCAGACTTTATAGGCAATATAACATCAGAACTTATGGTGTTGATAATGTATCAAATATTGCAGTTTTTAATTTACCAGCAACATATCTTTCATTTGCATTGGTCTTTCCATATTTTACCTCCTAAAATATTATCACATCTTCCCTGTGGATGTTTATCTAAATAAAGTATATTAGAACCCCATTATCACATGGATTTGAATATACTGGAGGTCAAAACATAATTACATGCAGTGAAACCTTAACACAGCACAGTTGGTCTATAAGGGAATTATTCTTGTACTGTATACCATGGTATATGACTTTACTAATCCTTACAATAAAAAGTTAAGGAAAACAGTAGATGTAAAAATAAATAGTGTAGTTCTAAATGGGCATTATACAAAGGGAAGTAGTTTTTTAAATGACACGAGCTTTGTTTTTTCTAGTGTCCAAAATCAAAATATTTATGATATTCATACAAATAGTTTGGTTTTTTCCTTAAATATTGCCTGTGAGTACATTACTTTCTCAATATATCCATGCATAATATAACATTTTAATTCTGTATTATTATTATGTAGTTAACTTTTGTCACAGTGAAGTGATCATACCTTTGATACCAGTTTGATCATGATAAAAATAATTATTGGTGCCTACATTTTTAATATACATTTCAAAGACCATTACCATATATTTAAAAATATAAATATTAGAAATAAAACCTGCTTGGATGTTTCTTGTCAGAATTTTTAACGCAACTTAATCCATTGCCAGCTACTATAGTAGTACAAATAATTTTGTCTTAACTTTTTGTCTCCGTTAAAGAAAGTTGAAGCTCCTAAATTTAACCTGACCTAAAATAAGACTGCATATGCATTAGAAAGACTTAAAATTACTTATGATCTCTGCTCTTAACCACATCTATGCACTCAGTGGTTACTTTAAAAAAAAAAACTCCAAATAAATTCTTTGTCATTTAACAAGCTTTCCTACAAACATCAATACTGAAAACTAAGTGGTAATTTTAATCAGCTTTATAGATTTATCATTTTTAGAGTTTAGAAGTCTTCTTGTAGTCTTTTTAAGTTTGTTATATTTCAGTTGCTTACAGTATTTGCTAGAACATCAAAATGTTTTATGAGCAATGGCAACCTGTAGATATATTATGTTCAGGATGTAGAGAAGTTTTTTCCTCATACTCTTGCACAAAATTTTTTCAGTGTTTAGTTATTAAGAGTGCTAAAATTACATCACTACCATTAAATACATTACAAGGAAAAATCATTCTGTCTTCATTATGCATGAATGTATTTTTGAAAAATCATGTATTCTTTTCTGCCTGTCATGCTGAGTGCATTCAATATTGATGGAGTTGTCATGAACAGAGTATCAGTTTCATTAGTCTTCATTTTCACATGTATAATTATAATTATAGTAAAGCTATTCAGGTGGTATATTTTAGTTTAACTGTTTTACTTCTTTGGTAGTGAGTTGCTAGTCTTTCGGTTTGTACCTTCTGACACTATTGAACTTTTTAACTGGACAAATATTATGTATCATGCTTCACTGCACAAGAGGGTCAGATTATTTAGTAAAAATTCTATAATAGTATATGTGTTGAGGAATAAAAGCAATCTATATCTCTCTATTAGAGAAAGAATAAAAACTATAATAGGAAATTGGCCTCCCAGTAGATAATATTTGAAAAATATTATCTATCATGCTTTACTGCACAAGAGTGTCAGATTATATCTTAAAAGCAATCTATGTCTTTCTATTAGAGGAAGAATAAAAACAATAATAGGAAATTGGCCTCCCAATGTAACATCAAAAAATTAGCTTTTCATTGATCTATTCATTGATTTCATTGATTATCATTGATCGTATTATCTCATGTTACACTGAGTGGGTTTGAGGTCTTTTTAAAAATTGTAATAAAAATTTTCTTCGACTTCACTAATTTCTTTCTTAAACAGATTCTTTGATGGATTTGAAGAAATTTCTAGTTGAATTTAAGAAAATATTTTCATGTAGCAGGTGTTGAAAAGGAAAACCTGAGCTCTTCAATAGAAGAGATTATGTTGGACATTAAATGACAGTTTATGATGTTCAATTTTAATACGTATTAAAGCCACATCAAAATCTAGGAAACTTTGGGTGGAAGCAGCAAATCCATGTGCTGACTTCTCCCTATGAAATAATATCCTCACTTGTATCTTTGCAATTTCCTTTTGTATGGTAATATGACCTTTCCTTTATATGTCCTTAGCAATATAAAAAAAAGCAATGTTCATAGTTTTGAGAGTGAGAAGTATTTATGAAAGAAATCCAAATATACTTTGCTTTTGATATTTTAAACTTGTTAAAAATAAGTGCCTTGATAACTGTTTTCAGCTTCTCCAAAAGTTGTTAATCCATTTTTGACCGCTTTCTCTATGCAAAATTAAGATAATATTTCCTTATTAAGCTAATTTTCTAGGCAGTGTGCTCATTTTGTTACTAGCATTTATGGTTGGGTAAAAAAAAAAGTGCTAATACTTTTAAGGCACCTATGCTAACTAAAATATTTTGGTCATTTGGTTATGCTCCAGAACTCTAGGGTAAAAAAACAAAAAAATAAAAATACTAACCTGCACATTTAACAAGGCCTATTGCACCGAATCTTTGTTAACCTACTCTTAGCAATTCTTCTTATTCCTGGCATCTTTGTTATTGAAGTTTTTGTTAGACTTATTTTGTTTCAGGCTTAATCTGTGTTGTATATCTGCAATACTTGGTTAAAATTGTGTCCGTCTCACCTGAGATCCTTCTTAAGGATGACTCTCCAAACCACCAGTAATCACATTGCAGTATGCCAATTTTTAAAGTTTCAAGAATAAGAAAAAATGCTAAACTTTAATACAAAAGGTGATAGTCGAGTTAGAAAAAGCTTTGGCACATAGTTATATGCTTAATCTTAAATCTGTAGGTTCAAGCTTCTCTGAATTCCCATTTAAAACCAAACTGAAGGAAAACTGAAGTTGTGTGAGAATTATTAACTTATAATCATATTTACTTTTGATGATTTCATGGAAATTTTAGTCCTTTTTGCCTTTGAACTTTTAAGTATTCCTTTTATATGATAACTTAGGTGCTTCATTTTACACAGAGGGCATGTGCTTAAAATTGTATATACATTGATTTCTTTTTCAAATAAAAATATTTTAAGTGCACTAAGGACTCTTGTTATTGAAAGAATCCCTGTTTTTCATCCTGTAATTCCATGAACCTTTTATAAAGGAAATTATGACTCCCTAATTTATTCTTTGTGTAAATCTCAGCTTTTTCATGTAGAATTTACTTAAAGTAAATTATACCAGCAGCAAGTTATTATTAATACAGTTCCTTTAATGTAATAGAAAATATGAGTTATGATCTAAATGAATAGCCCAAATACTACTTACCAGTATTCATTTGATTCCTTTACCTTGGTGATTCTCATATGATAGCTTGTGTCCTTGACATGCGTTTCTCCACCATTCTTATAGTTTTTAAGTACAAAGTTTCTTGATACTGCTTTAGAGAGCTAGAATATACACCTCTTGTGTTTCGTTAGTTTCAGATTCCAACATCTGTGGCTGTCGGTTGTAAGAAATTTAAAGTGAAACTGATGTAAGTATGGATAATATATCCTTAGAATAGTACCTCATTATCAGACAATTTTGTTCAAATAAGAATTGAATTAAATCTAGAAGTTCCAAAGGGATGTTTTTTTCTCAGCTATCTTTCAATGTCCATTAAGGATTATTTAAGAAATTTTTTTCGTGTGTCATAATTTAAAAGCCTAAATTTAAAATCTAGAAGATTTTATGGGACCAAATATACTGAGTTGGCATAGAGATACTTTGTGAGCCAGTTATCATTAATGATTTCTTCGTGATAATGATTAGATCGTGGTGTATGTAAACATCTGGGCAGCTCTTTCTCAGTATACGTGCTTTGGACACTTAACAAGGTCATCAAACTGTATTCACTTAATGGAATGGAGGCAACCTAGCCAAGGAATTGCTTCCTGCTTGAATTAATTTGCTAATATTACTTTCAGTTTTTCCAGCTGTCATTTTCCCATTCTTTAGGGATTTGTACAGACACTTAGGTGTGAGAAGGATACTCACATTTATGCTAACTCTTGGGTCAAAATACTTGACAAGAATGTTGATTTTTTTTGGTAAATGTTTTCCTTCCCTATTAAGAGGCAACATTTTCATCAGGATTAAAACCAGTGAACATATGTCTTTTAATAGATTGGGGACAGAAAAGTGTACCTCATATTTTGTAACCTCATATAACTTTTTCACCAGAAAGGGACTGCCTTATTTCGTGATAAATTACCCTACTTGTTTTCTGTTAACCATAATAAATTTGATTTTGGACGTTTAATCTGTTTCACTTAAACATGGGTTTTAAGTGTGCTGTTAATGATTATAAAATAGCACTATCTTGCAAAAAGAAAAATCAGCCAACAAATTTTAATGAGATGGTAGAATAGAGGGGCAGGTAGGTGGCATGGTAGATAGAGCCCCGGCTCTGGCATCAGAAGGACCTGAGTTCAAATCTGGCCTCAGACCAAACACTTGACACTTACTAGCTGTGTGACTTTGGGCAAGTCACTTAACCCCAATTGCCTAAAAATAAAAAATGAGTACTTAACAAAATAGCATACTTAAGCTGGTCACTTATAATCATATATTAATGTATATAACAAATTAGGATATGAACTAATGTGTAAGAATTAAGTTCACAGTTTTAAAGGATGATAAAATACACCTTTAAAATGAGTGAAGACCCTAGTCACTGAGCCTTCACTGAGACCTTAGTGGCCTCTTGCCCCTTACTTTCCTACACTCAGTCCCTCTGCCCCTTCCCCACTGGACTTCTACCACTGTCTTTTAGAGGTTGTTTCCTTGGAAGAAAAGGAATCATGTTTGCAATACAGAACCTTCACTCTTTCAACCCCTTTGCTGATGGAAGGAAGGGTGATGACCTGCTTCTTGGACTGTAGATAATATCTATATAGGAATTCATCAGAGAAATGGAGGACCCTCACTACTGTCAAGGGAATTACTGATGATTACAATAAAAAAAAACAAATTACTCAAAGCATTTAAGAAGAACTTTGCCTGCAATGATTGAACATCCAGAATATAAAGAAGTAATTCAGCTAAAAGGTGACCAGTACAAGAACATATGTCATTTCCTCCTTGAAATTGTATTGGCTGAGAATAACAGCTGAAGGTTCATTGGTTTTAAGTACTTTGTGGCTCACTAAAGTTTAAATGAGAATTTCCTTGCAATGAGTAGAATCGTTTCTGTCCTTGTCACAAATTTTAAAACCTCATAGCTCATTTAATGTAATCACTTGGGGTCCACTTTTTTTTTTTTTTGACAGCAGAAAAATTTTATTAGGAGCAAAATGAGACACTAGTTCCAAGGCATCCCAGTACAAAGTAAAAGGAGCCACAGCCCAGGAGAGGCTGGGAAGATTTATGCTTGAAAACCACAAAGGGGAGGACTGGGGAGGGGTCAGGAAAAAGAATGGCCAGCCTTTCCAGGAAGAAGTGGGGCCCAGAAGCAGGACATTTTGTTGGAACAGTCGACTGCAAGGATGGTTTAGGCCAGTTTGGAGTGCACAGCTCAGCAAGATCAGCTAGGAAATACCATCAAAGGCATCTGAGAGTGAGCAAAATTTGGCTCACTGCAGGCTCCTTTTCAGCAAACAAATTTACTCTGTTCTGTGTCCAGTGCACCTGCCTCTTGTTTTGTGTCTAGATCTTGTAGTGTGGTCAGCATATGGCCCTCACGAAGGCTGGAATACCTGCGTACCATGCAGATTTTCTCATTGTCTTCTCTACAGAAAAAGCTCAAGTATTTCTGATGCATGGTGCACCATTCCTCTAGGATGGACTGGGTCTCCTCATGGAATGGCTTCAGCTGCTTGGCCATTTGTACCATGTTCTTCTTCCAGTTGGTACAGAGGAAGTATGAAGGCTGGGATTTTTGAGGAAGGCAATCCTGGCAGAAGGTGTTGCCAGAATGCTCTGTTACAGGGTCACTGAAGAAGCTCCCACAGACTGGGCAGGTCAGAAGGTCGTGCACGCACTTGAATGGTCTCCATTCAGTCTTTGCTCCTACTTCACTGACAGGGATGTCACAGTTCTCCATGTCCCTTCAAAGGCTGGGTTTCTCAGTTTCTCTGCTGTACTGCCTTTGCCAGGTTCTAGCTCCAGGAAGGTCTGCCTCTCAGGCTTTGGCTCCTCTGAAATTTATATCAGCCTCTGACCACAGAGATTCACACTTGTGGCAAGTATGAACTAGGGAAAGTCACACCTTCCCAGAATCTCAGAGTTGGATTCCCTATAGACTTTAGCTGAAATCCAAACCCCAGAACCTGAGACAATTTTCTGCTTTGAGGAACATCCCTTTTTCTCCACATTGAGTTTAGTATCTTTTTATCACCTCCAATCTTGCTTCTAATTGTCCCAATTAAAGAGAACAGTCCTATCCCTCTGTCTCATGATGGCCTGCTGTCACTGGGGCTGTATCCCATGGGCTATATGGCTCTACCACCTGCCTTTGCCAGAGAGGAGGCCTTAGTGAGGAGGAGAGCATGGCCCTTGGGGTCCACTTTAACTTGGACTGATGTGACTCATGTAATGAACTGGAGAGAGAGAGAGATCTGGCCATCCTGGAAACAATTCTTTTTAAGGAGATGAACATCTTAGTAGGTAAAGGTTGAAATTTTATTTGTTTCATCAGAATTAGAAATGCAAAGGCTATAGGATCTATTTTATTTTGCCAATATTAAGAACAAAAATTGGGGTTCAAATTAAATATTTGTGACATTGAAGGCAAATGGTCCAAACTGTCATAAAAAGAAAAGTAGATTTTTTAAAGTAACAAATATTTCAACTTGTGTGCATC